TACCACAAGTACTAAAACGTGCCCTTTACTTACATTCCCACCCCCCCTCTCCTTTTTACCATTTCTACTAGCAGTACCCTAACTCGCCCAACGCCAATATCAACTAATATGCAAACCAAAACACAACGGCTCTCTACCTTACTCTACAGTATCCTACTCTACTTCTTACTTGCTCTACGCCTTCCCCACCCCTTGTCCCACCCCTTTCCCCAACCCTACCCCATCCAACCCATTAGCTTCCCATGACAACATCAAGTAATACTAGATAATATGCAGACAAAAACACAAAAGTTCAGGAATTCGGGGATCATGTTTACCTCCCCATCGGCCCTGAGGGCCTTAAACTTCAAACAGTTGCGGCATTTCCTTTCATTTATCACATTTCCGCACGTTTTTCGTCGCTTCCAACAAACAGTTGTACGTATCAATTAGAAACAGTGTAAATGCCCTCGAAAAGTCAGCTTTTTGTCAGCGGTCCAAAAGTTTTTTCCCCTATTTCAGCGCGCGCAATGTAGTGAAAAAAAGAGTTTTGCAGGCTGCGAGTGAGACGTTATACGATGAAACATGCTTTTTGTTTTTAGGTGGTAAAATACGAATTAAATGACAACGAAGGTGCATATTAATAAAAAATGGCAAGAACTTTCTTTACAAAATGAAAAATGACAAGAACTTCCTTTACAAAACACAAAATGGCAAGAACTTTATTTACCAAACAAAAATGGCAAAAACTTTCTTTCCAAAACACAAAATGGCAAGAACTTTCTTTACAAAACAAAAAATGGCAAGAACTTTCTTTACAAAACCAAAAATGGCAAGAACTTTCTTTACAAAATGAAAAATGGCAAGAACTTTCTTTACAAAACAAAAAATGGCAAGAACTTTATTTACCAAACAAAAATGGCAAAAACTTTCTTTCCAAAACACAAAATGGCAAGAACTGTCTTTACAAACTAAGAAATGATCATAGTATCATTACCTACTGCTAAAACAAATTGAAACTAGCAACTTTCCATCCCCCCCCCCCTCTCCAAAACAAACTAATACATCCCCGACCTCAGAACATACGAAACCTCGTTCGTAGTAATATTCCCATGCACTTATCCGAATCAAAACTCTCGAAACTCTCGAATATTTCCGGCTTTCCACACTTGAAACAATCCCTATTAAACAGTTATATTATCCCTTTCACTGTTAGGTGCAATTAAACGCAGTTAAATGTTGTAGGAAGGGGCAGGTAAAGTAAGTAAAAGGAAGTAGCGAGGATTGGGGGGGGAGGGGGGGGAGGAAGAGTTTAAACGATTAAGCTTGAAATAACATGAAACGCATGAAAACCTTGCTTTAGGCTTGCATTTTCTTATGATTAATACTAATATAGGCTTAATTTTAAGCCTAAAATTCTTAAAACGCTTAAAATTATCTTAAGCCTAAGAATATTGATAAGCTTCATAGTATTTTATGAGTAAAAACTTTTTTAAGCCTAAAAATATTAATAAATCAAAGGGTACTTTAAGCCTAAAAAATATAAAAGGCTTTTAAGCCTATAAATATTGCAAAACTTAAAATTATAATTAAGCCTAAAGGTACTTTAAGCCCAAAAATATTAATAAGCCTAAGGGTATCTTAAGTCTAAAACAATAATTAAGCCTAAAGTTATCTTAAGCCTAAAACTATAAATAAGTCTAAAAACACTTTAAGCCCAAAAATATAAATAAGCCTAAAAGCATCTTAAACCTAAAACTATAAATGAGCCTAAGAGTCTTTTAAGCCTGAAAATATAAGTAAACCTAAAAGTATCTTAAGCCTAAAACTATAAATAAACCTAAGAATACTTTAAGCCTACAAATATTGTAAAGCCTAAAATTATAAATAAACCTAAGGGTATCTTAAGCCTAAAACTATAAATAAGTTTAAAGGTACTTTAAGACTAAAAATATTGCTAAGAATTAGCATTTTTATGTGTAAAAAACTGCTAAGCCTAAAAATCGATCAGGCCTAAAAGCTTCGGCGCTAAAGAATGATCAAGCCTAAAAGCTCGGATGATTTGTTGTGTATAGAAGCTTCACTTTAAGCCTAATTCTTCTAAAAACATATCATGACTAACGTAAATCCTTCGAAAGAACCTAAACCATTATGATGTTTTTTACCGTTGGAAACTTCCTCCCCCCCCCCTCCTTCACGAAAAGGCTTCAAAAAACGAAAAAATAACCGCAAAACATTGATTGAACTTTACGGTTTTTTCACAAAAATCAAACCAAAAGAAGGGGGGGGGGGAGAAGGAGAAGGGATGTAGGTTCTGCTCTCTCTCTCTGCTATCAATAAAAGGCAATGATAATATTAATAATATGGGCTTCGAATAAACATAGAGTCTGTTTAATGATCAAACATTTGTGTGGTCAAAACGTTTGTTTAGGCTTAAGATTATAGGTTTATAGACCTAAAATACGGTTTAAAGTTTGAAATTATTTGAAAAGTTTAAGATTGAGCCCATAAGCATGAGAGTAGATTTATAAGTTTAAAAACATTAAGAAGCCTAATAGTATCTTAAGCCTAAAAGTGCCATAAGCCCAAGAATATCAATAGGCTTAAAATTAGCATAAACCTAAAAATATCAATAAACTTGATGGTATCTTAAGCCTAAAAATACAGTATAACCTGTATAATTACTTTAAGCCTAAGAATATTGCGAAAAGTAAGGAAGTTTTAAGCCTAAAACCATTAATAAGCTTCAAAGTACCTTAAACCTAAACATATTGTTAAGCCTATAAGCAGCTTAAGCCCAAGAATATTGACAAGCCTTAAAGTAGGCTAAGCCTAAAGTACTGATAAGCCTAAATACCTTACGCCTAAAGTTATTAATATATTTTAAAAAACAAAGACAAGCCTAAAAACGTTAAAAACATATATTGTAAGCCTAACCGCCTTAAGATTATATATCTTAAGCCTAAAGTTATAAACATAATTAGAAAACCAAAAACAAGCCTAAAAGCCTTAAAAGCATGTATCGTAAGCCTAACCGCTTTAAGAATATATTTTTAAAGCCTGAAAACCATGAACTTATATTTTAAGCCTACAGGTAATAGAAAAATACTTTAAGCCTAAAACCTTGAAATTATATTTTAAGCCTAAGCGCCTTAAGATAATAAATCATACGCCTGAAAACTTGGAAGTCATATTTGAAGCCTAAAAGTATTAAAATCATAATTTAAGCCTACAAACCTTGATCTCATGCTTTAAGCATAAAAACCTTTAAATCATACTTTAAGCCTAAAAACCTTAAAACCAAAAGTAATTTTTAAAGAGTAAAATAAGAAACATATTATTAAAGCTTAGAAAACCACTGAAAACATTAGGATGAGTGTTTGGAAATGGCCACCAAATGTTTAACACATATCTTCTTGAGTCATATTTGAATACTTTTTGCTGTCCTCTTTACTCGATTTATAACCTCAAGGCTTAGCGAGTGAATTCGTAAAACGTTTTTTTTTAAATCAGAACATTTTTCGGTCATAAAAGTTGGATTTAAACCTAAAAACTCGTCTTTAAGCTTAAAATTATTTTTGGGTATTGTAGGATAAGATAAGGTTGGGTGGGACTTATAGTCATTTTAGAAGTTTAAATTCGTTTTATAAGCTTAGAGTTACTTTTATAAGAATAAATAAATCTTTAAGCCTAGAGTTACTTTTACAAGCCTAAAGTCATTTTATCAGCTTAAAGTCCTTTTTCAAGCCTACAATTAAGTTTATAAGCCTAAAGTCATTTTATAAGCCTAAATTAATCGTAGAAGCCTAAGGTCATTTTATTTTAAACTTGAAGTCATTTTATAAGCCTAAAGACATTTTTTTAAGCATAGAGTTCTTTTTATAAACCTAAACTCATTTTTTAAGCCTAGAGTTACTTTTATAAGCGTAAAGTTATTTTTTAAGCCTAAAGTTTTTTTTATAACCATAAAGTCATTTTATAAGCTTAGAATTACTTTTATAAGCCTAAAGTCGTCTTTTAAGCCTAAATTAGTTTTTAAGCGTAAAGTCGTTTTTTAAACCTAAAGTCAATTTTATAAGCCTAAGATCTTTTTTTAAATCCTAAAGTCATTTTGTAAGCCTATAGTTACTATAAGCCTAAATTAGTTTTAGAAGCTGAAAGCTTCTTTACTTGAAGCCTGAAGTCATTTCATAAGCCTAAAGTTCTTTTTAATAGCCTATAGGCATTTCATAAGCCTAAAACCGCTTTACAAGCCTAAGCCTAAAAATATTATGAAATCTAAAAATTATTGCCCAAGCATATCTCCTCTCCTGCCCCCCCCCCTCCCCAACCCACTAAAAACTTGGGAATCGTTTAAAGAAAATCCATTAAAAGATTTGTGACAAACAAATCTGTCGGGTGCGAACCGGTCAAACAGTTTTTGCGAACGTTTTTCGAATTTGCTCGAGAGTCTCGCGCGAGTCAAAACCAAATTTTTTTTTGAAACAGTTGACCATTTTTCACAGCAATTAAATAAGGTTTTATGTAAACAGTAGCTCAAAATGTCTGATATTTTATGTCAATTTTAAAATTTTGAAAAATACGGTAGAAAATCGATACGGTAGAATGAGCGAGGTATGGCAGGGCTAAGCAGGGCAAGTTAAACATGGTGGGCCATGGCAAGGCAAGGTATGATAGAGTAGAGTAGTTGAGGGTAGAGTAAGGTAGGGTAGACCATGGCATCTCCAGGCCAGGCCGGGTACGGTAAAATAGGGTAGGCTTGGACAACTTCTGGTAGGGTGGAGCAAAAATGTGTGGGTCCGGGCAGGCCTGGGTAGAGTAGAACATGACATGGCAAAGAAAAATAGGCTCTAGACTAGAGCTCGGGGCTAGGGGTAGAGCTCGGGGCTAGGGCCTCTGAGCTAGGTCTCTGGGCTAGGGCTCTGAGCTAGCGTTCTGGGCTAGGACACTGGGCTAGGGCTCTGGGGCTAGGGCTTACAAACATCAAAATGCCAATATCGCGTAGATAATTTTTTTTTATTTCACCGACATTGAGGCTTCAGATTCTCAATTCCAAAAACATTACAGTACCTGAAGATATGGCCAGTAGTGTCTAAATTGTACAGTAATTTCTCTCTTTTCGGCAATTCTTCAAAATCCAACTCAATACCGTAATCTTTCAAATGTGTCAACGTTTGTGCCAAATGAAGGTAATATAGTCGATGTGACTTCATAGCTTTCGACAAAACATTTACTCTGTAAGCATCTTGTCTTACTGTGTCATCTAGATTCGTGAGGTATGGGTCGTCTGAAGGCCTGATTTGGCCGTGAATGGCAGCGGCGAAAGCGGCCGTACGAAGAAGTTGCAGCTCTTCTGAATGATCGTAGGGATCGTTGAGTTCTTGCTATAAGTTTAATAATATTAGGCTTACAACACTTTAAGGCTTATAATTTTAGGGTTAAAATTTTGAGTTTAAAATTTCAAGCTTCTAATACGTTAATATAAGCTTAAAATTTTTTTAAGCAACAGAGTTTTTTTAGTTAAAAATCTTCTGAAGCCTATAACAGAAAGCCTAATTGTTGTTTAAAATTAAAAATGTAATTAGGCTTAAAAGTACCTAACTTTTAAAAGTAATATAATAATAAGCCTAGAAGTGTCTTAAGCTTAAAAATAATTACTGAATCTATAAGCATCTTAAGCCTAAAAGTAATAATAAGCCTAAAAAGACCTAAAGCTTAATAATTGTCATAAGCCTAAAAGTATGTTAAGCTCAAAATAATTATTAAATCGAAAAGTATCTTTATAGCTTAAAATTAATAATAAGCCTAGAAGTTCCTTGAAAATAAAAGTATTCTTAAATTCAAACGTAACATAAGCCTAAAAGTATCTTAAGCATAAAAAAATATTGACGAGTGTCCTAAACCTAAAAATATTGAAAAGTCTAATATTAGCTTAAGCCTAAAAATGTTAATAAGCTACAAAATTACTTAAGCCTAAACATATTAGAAAAACTATTAGTACTTTTAACCTATGAGTAAAAATAAGCCTAAAACTAAGCTTAAGAGTGGTTTAAGCTTAAAAATTTTTAAAACGTAAAAGTGTCTTAAGCTTAGAATTTTCTAAGCCTTAAAAGTATCTGAAGTCTAAAAATATTGTTAATCATAAAAGAATTTTAAGCCTAAAGCTGTTCCAAACTTACCACAACAACACCACTAGCCTTTCCCAGAAGTCTCATGAAACTGATGGTTCGATCTCTCCTCCATTCTTCAGTAATATTACCATATGCACTAACAGTCGTACTGAAAAATGTTGTACTAGCAAATTGACTCGAATTATCACTGTACGATACACTACTTGATGTTGTAGTAAGAAAAGGCTTTGTAGTACTTCCAGAAGAGATATCTGAGCTTATAGTGGTGTTGAGTACTAGTTGGGAGGAAGATATTAGTACTAGTTGGCTTACAATCAATAGTGGCACTGCGTAGTTTAACATATTTATTTTTTTTCAAAAAAATTTTTTAAATTTGAGAGAACAATAAGATAAAAACAGGTAGAATAATATAATCTCAGAATATAAACAAGTTTTTTAATACGATAACACGTATTACTGCAGAATCACAATCACTCGATTAACATACGAAGCAATCCCTACTGAACACAAAGACTGAGTGAACACTATAATTTATGCAAACTACTCTGTAAGCCTAATTTTAAGGTTTTAAGCTTGTTTTACATTGACTGAAAAACAACGACGTTACGAAAAGTTACAGTATGATCAAGGTATAAAACAACAGATTAAGGATTAGTTTCCTAATACCCTACCTTACCCTACCCTACCCTACCCTACCCTACCCTACCCTACCCTACCCTACCCTACCCGACCCTACCAATCCTACCCTACCAATCCTACCCTACCCTACTCTAGCTTGTTATATTCTACTCTAGCGTGTCCTATTGTACCCCGCGTATACTACCGTACACTGCGGTACAGTACCCTGCCGCATCATACAGTATCATTAGTCATGGACGACGATTCTGCCCGGCCCGTCGTCGTGTATAAGTACCGTAATTTACAGTTCTGTGCTTTTCAGTACCATACTTTACAGTATCATACCTTATATCATACTTAAAATTAAAAAGATTGTACAGTATTGGTAACTTCATATAGCCAACCATAGTTCATTTTAAAAATCATTTTTGATGACTTCCTCAACCACAAAACACAAGATAATATGGTATTAGTTTGTGTCGCGATCAAGCTACAACAATTGTAGAGCAATCACTTAACGAAAGCAGATCGCTTTCTCGTGTTATATTAAGCGTTGTTGTTTATAATTTACATTAAAAATGGTTTCAAACAAATTCAACGGTTGTTACCGACTGGAGGGCAAAGTCGCGGTGGTTACGGCTGCTAGTACTGGGTATGTCATTTTTAATTTTTATATTTTTTTATTTAAAAAAAATATTTTTGTTAAAAAATGGCGTTTTAGGCCGTATTTTAGGTTTTTTATGAATCCTGTCATCTTGATGACATATTTTTTGGAATTTTTATAAAATATGTCATCTTTTTGTCATTCTTGGTAACTCTATAAATTTTGTCATCTTGATGACACATTTCTTAAAATTCTATAAAATGTGTCATCTTTCTACTATTTTAATAAAAATTTTATAAAATGTGTCATCTTCATAACATCTTAACAAAAATTCTATAAAATATATAATCTTCATGACATATTTTTTAGAATTCTATAAAATGTGTCATTTTGATGACATATTCATAAAAATACTACAAAATCTGTCACCAAGTAATATAAAATATGTCATCTTCATGCTCTTTTTTAATTATATAAAAAGTGTCATCAAGATTTATAGAATATGTCATAGTATTATTTTTCAAAAAATCTATAAATTATGTCATAAAGTTTTATAAAATGTGTTATCTTTATGCTTTTTAAAATTTTTTTTTTGAAGATTCTAAAAAATGTGTCATCTTAATAACATTTTTTTGAAATTTTATAAAATGCGTCATCAAGTTTTATAAAATATGTCATCTTCCTGCTTTTTAAAAAAATTCTATAAAATGTGTCATCATAACAAAAATTTTTAATTTTTCCATAAATTTCGTCATTTCCAGAATTGGCTACGCCATAGCCGAGCGTTTTCTTCATGAAGGAGCCAAAGTAGTGATAAGTTCCCGAAAGCAATCACATGTTGATGACGCCATTAAAAAGCTAGTCCAAGATGGAGCACCGAAAGACAATGTAGCCGGCATCGTATGTCATGTTGGTATTGCCGAGCATCGCCAGAAGCTGTTAGAGGTTGCCATGGCTAAATTTGGCAAAATTCATATTTTAGTCAACAATGCTGGCATTAACCCGACGTTTGGTGACATTGCTGACATTGGAGAGAAGGAGTGGGACAAGTTGTTTGAGATCAATGTGAAGGCAGCTCACTTGTTGACACAAGCTGCTGCTCCTATTATTGCTAAGAATGGGTATGGTGATTTATATTTTTGAGAGATAAAGAAGGAAGAAAGAATGCTTAAAGCTCTTTTTTTAAAGCGGTCTAAGCCTTAATCCAAACCCTAGTTTCAGTCCAAGTTGGCTCCTGTCTAAAATCCTTTAGTGTAAGACCTAGTGTAGCTATGGCCTAAGATAAAGTCTTATCTTTCGTACTAGGTATAGCCATAGCTTAAGATCTAGCCGTAGTTTAAGCTCTAGCTTAAGCCCTTTCTGACTGTAGCATTAGCTCTGGCTATTGTTTGAAACCTTAGCCTAAGTTCTAGCTTAAGCCCCTGCCTAAGCTTTAGTCTAAGCCCTAGCCTTTGCTCTAGTCTAAGCCCTAGCCTACGCTCTGGTCTAAACCCTAGTTTACGTCCTAACCTTAGCTGAAGCCCAAGCTGTAATTTCATTCCTAGCCCTTTTCTGTAAGGCCCTAGCCTAAGCCCTAAGTACACATAAACATACCTTATGACTTTACTTTCAGTGGAGGCAGTATAATCTTCAACGCATCGTACGCTGCCTACAAGACTTCAAATGGAATCGCTGCTTATGGAGTGACGAAGACAGCTCTAATTGCTTTAACTAAAGCTTATTCAGTTTCATTGGCTCCGAATAACATCAGAGTGAACTGTGTTGCCCCAGGCATTATCAAGACGAAATTGAGTCAAGCGGTAAGCTTTTCTTTACAACAGATTGTTCAAATAATTATGTGCTCTTTAACCGCAAAAATTCGTTTTGAGGGAGCACAGAATTATTTGAACAACCTAATACCTGGTTTTTTTAGTATGGTAGGGTAAAGTTAGGTTACTGTAGAGTAGGGTTAAAGAAGATTACGGTAGAATAGTAAAGGAGATCAACATAGAGAAGAGTAGGGTAGGGTAAGGTAGGATAGGGTAGGGTAGTGTAGGGTAGGATAGAGTAGGGTAAGGTAGGGTAAAGCTTTTTAAAAACAAAATTTTCAGTTATGGGACCCAAAGAGCCCAGTAGCAGACCAAGCCAAAGATGAGATTACAAACTACATGGGTCGAATTGGTGTACCGCATGAAATCGCCAGTACCGTTGCCTTCTTGGTCTCTTCTGATGCTTCGTACATGACCGGCGAGACGGTACTGGTTACTGGAGGAGTTGATGCTCGATTGTAATTATTTTTTTACTGTAGCTGTAGTAAATGTTATACTGTATATCATAAAAACTTTGATACTAAATATCACAAAATGTATAATACTATATAGCACAAAATTTGATGATACATAACTCAAAATGAGTGCTGCTAAATAGTACAAAGTGTTTGATACTATATAGTACAGAACACTTGATACTATATAGAACGTAAGGATTGTTACTATGTAATACAAAAAAAGTTAATACTATATAGTACGTAAATTATGATGCTATTCAGTGCAAAAAAGTAGTTACTATATATTACAAACACTTGATACTATATAGTATGTGAAGCATAATACTATTTTGTACAATAAAATTGATACTGTGTAAAAGAATGATACTATTATGCTTAGTATAAAAAAATTGACACCATATAGTGAAGTATGGTACTATTTATTACAAGAAAAATGATAATAAATAGTAAGTAAAGCATGATACTATTTAGTACAAAAAAAGTGGATACTACATAGTACCTAAATCTCGGTATTATATAATGCAAAACAGTTGGTACTATACATTACAAATTGTTTGATACTAAATAGTACGATACCGCAAATACTGTGAAATCTAAACTAATTGCTACAAAACAGTACATAAAGCATGATACTAAATAGTACAAAATGACCAGTTTATTCAAGTTTTAAAATGTTATTCATCTTTGGCGCCCTTCACACGATTGATATCGGCAACCGGTTTGGTTTGAGGTTTCGAGTAGCCAGCACCACGATTGGTGGGGTCGAACACGTACTCGGTCAGGGTTTTGCTCCAAACAATCTCCTTGTCCACCATTCGTCGCTTTGGATCACTCTCGTGCGTGTTCTCTTGGCAACTGAAACTCAAATTTTTAGTCCAAGCCCTAGCTCCAACTCTAGCCTTAGCCTTAGTCCTAGCCTTATAGTAGCCCAAGATTCTGTGCTAGGCCTAAAATCTAGTATAAGCCTAAAAACTTTGTTTATACGTTCAAAGATTGTTGTTTAGCCTGCAATTCAGTTCTAAGCCTAAATTTCATTTTTAAGCCTAAAACGTTTTTCTAAGCCTAAAATTCTGCTCAAAACCTAAAACTTTCATGCTAAGCCTAAAACTGTTTTTCTAAGCCTAAAATTCTGTCCTAAACCTAAAAAATTTTTTTAGGCTTAAAATTTCCTTCTAAGCCTAACACTTTTTTTTCTGAGCCTAAAATTCTGTTCTAAGCCTAAAATGTTCTTTCTATGCCTAAAATTTTTTTTCTAGGCCTAAAATTCCCTACTAAGCCTAAAAACCTTCTTTCTAAGCTTAAAGTTCTGTTTTAAGCTTAAAGTTCTGTTCTAAGCCTAAAATTCAGTTTTAAGCCTAAAACGTTTTTTCTAAACCTAAACTTCAGTACTAAACCTAGAGCGTTGTTCTAAGCCTAAAATTCATTTTTAAGCCTAAAACTTTCTTGCTAAACTTAAAACTTTTTTTAAGCCTAAAAGCGTTTTTCCAAACCAATTCAGTACTAAGCCTAAAATTCACTGTTAAACCCAATATTCAATCCTTACGTTAATATGTTACTGACTGTGATACTAAGCAGCATTTCCTTGTCAAAGTAGTGGTCGTTTCGTTTCAACTGGTCGACCGTGGCGAATGGATGGAACTTGTCGCGGGCGGGGAGGGGATCCTTCAAGTTGCGGGTTTTGTTACACACCTCCTCCAGCAGGCTCATGTCAATGGGCAGGTCATCGTCGGTGAGTTCGTCCTGATCCCGGGGCGAGCCTATCATCCAAAATGGCACTCCATTCTCCAGTGGATTGTCGCGACGATGGCCGCCCTTCCGCTTCTCGTTCTCTTCCTCGTCCTCGCAGTTCAGCGTCTCCATCACGTCGTTGTCGGGTATGTTCGCCATCACACTTCGTTGTTTGTCCTAAAAATGAAGCCTTGGGGAAAGGCGGGAAATGTGAAACAAAAAAAAATTTTTGGGCGGGGTAAAAAAAAATTTTTTGGAGGGTGGGGGAGTAATATAAAAATAATTTTTTTAAAGATTATTTACGTTGCAAAAACGCTCAAAATAAAAAAAAATTTTGGGCGGAGTAAAAAAAATTTTTTGAGGCTTTACAGTAAGCCTAATTCAGAATTTAAAAAAAATGAAAAATTTCTTCCTTCCTTCCTCACTCACATCTTTCTTATCCTTCTTATCCTTGGCTGATGACTTCTTCGAACTGACACTTCGACTGAATGACGACGACATCGTGGAGTGATCCGTGGCTTTTGTTTCGATCGGCTTCATACGGCGAGCTCTATAACAACATATATAATAGCGTAGCCCTACCCTACCCTACCTTACCATACCTTCATCTCCTCTACACTTGTACCGTAATCTTTCTTTCCATATTCTACAGTAATTCAACCTTACCTTATCTTACTCTATGCTAAGCCTAAACTTAAGCCTAATCCTAATCTTAAGCCTACGCCTAAGCCCAAACTACAACTTGAGCCTAAGCCTAAGCTTTAGCCTAAGCTTAAGACTAAGCCTAAGCCGAAGCCTAATCTTAAGCCTAAGCCTACGTTTAAGCCTAAGCCGAAACACATCTCTCACCTCCTCATACCTGCTTTCCCACACTACCAACCAAAAATAAGACACCAATAGACAATAGACCTACCTAGCCTCATAAACCACCTCGCCCTTCTTTTTACCAGGCCAAGTAGCAAACCGTGGGTCCGGCCGAATATGCAAATATTTGGACTTAAGCACGCCAAAGTTGGCCGGTGGTGGTTTTTTGGGAAATTTTTCGTCCGTGGTCGCCTTGACATGACTTTTGGGACCATCCCTAGCCAACACCTCATGGATACGGTACTTGACGAACTCTTGCTCTTCTTTGGCCGCTTCTTGTTGGGCTTCTCTCTTTTCATTCTTCGACTTCTTGCGTTGGATATTGGCCAAGGTCCGGCTCATACTTTCGTCTTTGGCTTTTTGCGCTGCCATCTTGGGACTTGTGGTACTGTTTGGTACTGTTTTGAAGAGTTATGGGAATAGGGTCTGGAACATCAATGTTTAAAAAAACTTGTATAATTTAAGCCTGAGCGTAAGCCTAAGCATAAGCTTGCGTCTAAGCCTAAGCCTAAGCCTAAGCATAAGCTTGAGCTTGAGCCTAAGCCAAGAGTAATGGATACTTAGAAATTTAAAAAAAAAATTTTAATTTAAAAAAAAATAAAAAAATTTTAAAAATGCTTAAAAGTAGAAAAACTTTAAAAGACAGTACTACTGATACTAAGAATAGATAAAAATAAACTTTGAGTACAGTACCAAAAAACGTACCCAAGAACTTGATGCTCGACCGAACGACAGACCAATGGAATTCAACCGACCGTCTCTGACGAAGAATAAAATAGCAAATGACGGTTTTACGTTTACAAAATTTTAAATTTTTTTTAAATTTTAAAATTTTTTATAATTTATTTTTGTTATCTAAAATTACGCTTAAGGTCAAGATTTCTAGACTTAGGGCTTATTAGGCTTATGTTTAGAGAGCTTATTCTTAGTAAACCTAGGTTTAGCGAGCTCAGACTTAGTAGGCTGAGACTTAGAAGAAAGAAAGGCTTACGCTTAGTAAGTTTAGAGTTATTATGCATAAGCTTCGTAGGCTTAAGCTTAATAAGTTTAAGTTTAGTAAGCATAGAGCTAGTAGGCTTAAGCTTAGTAGTTTTAAGCTTAGTAGACTTAGCTTAAGTAGATTTAGGCTTAGTAAACGGAAGCTGTAGCCATTTTGTGCTTTAAACGTGGTTTATACTTAAATTTAGGCTTATATTCAAACTTCTGTAAGGCTGTGGCCAAAAACCTTGATCTATTATATTTTTGATCTACCTTGGTCTCAAAATCGATTAACATTGATTGTGATCATTGATTGTAGCTCTTTTATTTATTAGTTTTAAAGGGCAATTGCATATAAAAAGCTTGTTTACCTAGCCATTTTTGAAATACTATTACCTCTTTGTAGATGCCCAGTAATTACTGTTTTTGTAGGTAAAGTGCATAAGAGCAGCCTTGTGGTAGGTAGACTTATAAAAGAGCAGGGACCATTTTTCAGCCAGACTCAACCTTTTTTTGAATTTTTTCTGTTTGGCACGGTTTAATAGTTTTCTCTTTAAGTTTTAAGGATAAGGAAGCAGTGCGAAGAAAACACAAGTAGAGATGAGGGGTAGACAACTCTTTTTGTAGGGTTTAAAAGATAAAATCTGAGTACAATTTGCATAGTTTTATAAAATTTCTTATTTTCTATTTTTTCACGTTTTTTATAATTTTAACGGCAAAAACTTTCTTTACAAAACAAAAAATGGCAAAGACTTTCTTTACAAAACAAGAAATGGCAAAAACTTTTTTTTACAAAACATATAATTGCAAAAAACTTTTCTTACAAAACAAAAAATTGCAAGAACTTTCTTTACAACAATACAAAATGGCAAAAACTTTCTTTACAGAACGAACAATGAAATGACTTTTGTAAATTTAAATTTAAAAAAAGGTTTTTGTCACAGTTCAAAGATCAATGTTCAAAGCGGATGACATATCATTTTGTAAAACGAGATATGATTCATCGGAGGATACCTATAATGATGTGGTGAATATTAAAAGTTGACCACGGTTTTTATGACACTTTTTGTTTTCTAAAGAAAGTTATTGCTATTTCATTCTTTGTAAAGAAAATTCTTGCCACTATGTGTTCTGTAAAGAAAGTTCTTGCCATTTTTCGTTTTGTAAAGAAAGTTCTTGTCATTTTTTGTTTTGTAAAGAAAGTTCTTGCCATTTTTTTGTTTTGTAAAGAAATTTATTGCCATTTTTTGTTTTTTTAAAGGAAGTTATTGCTATTTCATTCTATGTAAAGAAAGTTCTTGCCACTATTTGTTCTGTAAAGAAAGTTCTTGCCATTTTTCGTTTTGTAAAGAAATTTCTTGCCATTTTTTGTTTTGTAAAGAAAGTTCTTGCCATTACTTGTTTTGTAAAGAAAGTTCTTGCCATTACTTGTTTTGTAAAGAAAGTTCTTGCCATTACTTGTTTTGTAAAGAAAGTTTTTGCCATTTTTTGTTTTGTAAAGGAAATTCTTGCCATTTTTAGTTTTGTAAAGAAAGTTTCTGCCATTTTTTGTTTTTTAAAGAAAGTTATTGCTATTTCATTCTATGTAAAGAAAGTTCTTTCCCTTTTGTAGTCAATTAACCTCAATTATACCTGTTTCTCTCAACTCCTTCAGACATTTTTTAGTTCACCCCTTATATCACTATGACAACAAAAACGCGGCCAAAACTGCGAATTTTGGCCGAAATTACATCATACGTCGGTAATTTGATGTTAATATAACCCTTGGAATTAACTTCCGCTTCGTTTTGTTGTTTGAACAATCGTTTAACAGCGGTTTCATAAGGGTTTTCAATCGAAAAATGTCTTTTTGGCTACGTGAACAAGGGAGAAACGCCAACGTTTTACGCGTTTTCGCTCGGTTTTTGGGCTTTTTTGTACGTTTTTAGGGGATTTTAGGTATTCAAAGAAAATTATTTTGGTTGTAAAATATTAGCCAATGTTTTAAGTTGTGTTTCCGACAAGTTTTGTTACTTAAAATTTTGAAAAAATGTGAAAAATACGTCCAGAGCGAACAAGACACCAACCCCTGATAAAAAATATAACTTGTTCAATATAAGCATGTAATAGGTCAATTCCGATCAAGTTTGGTATGCTGAGTTCGAAAAAAATACTATTTTTAAAATTCCAGTACTCCTTTTGGTACTATATAGTATTAAATTGTAATTTTTAAAAGAATGATTCAACGTTTCACGCGGTTTAGCTCGGGTTTACGAGCTTTTTGTACGTTTTTGGGGATTTTTAGGTAGTCAAACTAAATTATTGTGATTTTAAAGTGTTTGTTAATATCATGAGCTTTATTTTTAACAGCTTTTATTACCTAAAATTTTGAAAAAATGCGAGGAAGAATAAGATTTGTGGGGATGAGATCTGACGTTTTACCGCGATTTCGCTCGATTTTAAGGGCTTTTTTTATCTTGAAATGTTAGTTAATATTATAACTTTGCTATTAAACTTTTAACGTATTGTAGAAGCTGGATACGGTGCAATGGGTAAGGTATGAATTGTAAGGCAAGATAGAGTAAAATACGGCGTTTCTGAGTACGATAAAGTAGACTAGAATGGGCAGGTCAGGATAGACCGGGGCAGAGTAGAACACGAGCATGGCATTTGAAGGGTAAGGTAGATTAGGGTAGGATAGGGCAGGGTAGGGTAGGGTAGGGTAGGGTAGGGTAGGATAGGATAGGGTAGGGTAGGGTAGGGTAGGGTAGGGTAGGGTAGGGTAGGGTAGGGTAGGGTAGGGTAGGGTAGGGTAGGGTAGGGTAGGGTAGGGTAGGGTAGGGTAGGGTAGGGTAGGTTATACGCGCAAGAAACTATGTTAATATAAATGTCATAGAGTTCATTTTTAACTGTATTTTCAGTCTAAAATGACGTTCAAACTCTCGGACAAAGAGTTCAATTCTCCCGGGTCTTCGACTGATACCAAGGACTTTTGTGAGGTTTGTGGAGCTATTCCGGCTTCGATGCACTTTGGAACAAATGCCTGTAGGCCTTGTAAGTTTTTTTTATTTTATTTTTTTTAAATTTTAGGCTTATTAAAAAATGGCGGTAATTTTTTTTGTTTTGTAAAGAAAGTTTTTGCCATTTTTTGTTTTGTAAAGAAAGTTTTTTGCAATTTTTTGTTTTGTAAAGAAAGTTCTTGCCATTTTAACCCCCAATTACAGGTGCAGCATTCTTCCGTCGGTCGGTGGTTTTGAAGCGAAAATACAAATGTAAATTCGATAGTAACTGTGCGGTAAACAAAAGTAAGCTCTTTTTGTACTATTGTTTACAATATATTGTGGCAGTAATTGTAAATTACATTGGTTTTTAGACGTACGATCCGTATGTGCACATTGTCGTTACAACAAGTGCATTAGTGCTGGAATGGACACTCAGAGTAAGTTGGTTTGAAAGCTTAGGTTTAATAGGCTTAGACTTAGGCTTAGTAGGCTTAGGCTTATGCTTAGTAGCCTTAGGCTTAGTAGGCTCACGCTTAGTTCTATCGTTTTCAATCGCATTTTAAAATCTTCCGTACACTGTATTGTATTAAAAAATGGCATTTTAGGTATTCGATACCCATTCGATCTAATAGGGCCAAAAAAGGACCGTATCGCAACTACCGTAATCACAAAACAAACAATGTCAATATTAAGTAGTATAACAGCCGGATACAAAAAGTTTGTGGATGATACAAAAGTGCTTTACTACGCTTGTCATCCTGAACATTTGTTTGATGAAGATGTCAAGTTCAAAGAGGCTACAGTACTCGAACATATGCACTTTGAAAGGGCGTTGTTAGTGTATATATTGAAGATGTTGAACGAGTTTTTTCATCCTTTCAACACGATTGCTAAGCAGGAGCAGGTAGGGGTTTGAATATAAAAACTTTTTTTTCGTAAGCTTACTAAGCCCAAACCTACTATGCCTAAGCCTACTAAGCCTAAGGCTACTAAGCCTAGGCCTACTAAGTCTAAGTCTACTAAGTCTAAATCTACTGAGCCTAAATCTACTGAGCCTAAGGCTACTAAGCCTAAGCCTACTAAGCCTAAGCCTACTAAGCCTAAGCCTATTAAGTCTAAGCCTACTAAGCCTAAGCCTACTAAGCCTAAGCCTACTAAGCTTAAGCTTACTAAGCCCATGACTATGTTTACTAATAGCCTAATTCTACTAAGCCGACGGAACTTTTGAAAGAAGATTGTTAGCCCTAGCTCTGGCCTTAGCCCAGAGCCTAAAAATCAGGTCTGAGATTCAAAAGCCTAAGCCTAATATCTTTCATTTTCAGATTAAAATCTTTGAAGTGTTTCAATTTCAATTTTGCAAAGTTTACCAGTGTTACCTAAATGCCGTATTTTTTGAAAATGATGATGAAAAGTTGTTTTTACACTATGGAAGTTACATTAACAAGGAAGACATTACACACTTCTTTTCCATTGACACTGACGTACAAATGTCTGTAAAGTAAGTGTTTGCCATTTCTTATCTTGTAAAGAAAGTTCTTTCCATTATTGGTTTTGTAAGGAAAGTTCTTGTCATCTTTTGTTTTGTAAAGAAAGTTCTTGCCATTTTATGTTTTGTAAACAAAGTTCTTGCGTTTTCAGATCCTTTCGCCCGCTACACAATAAGATCTACAGAGTGGCACAAAAGTTTAAAAAACTGAAGATTGACATCGTTGAATGCGCTGCCATCGCAGGTATTATACTGTGGAGGGAAGGTGAGCTGAAAGCCTATGCATTTTTTGTGGGGGGAGGGAGGGGTAGGGCACGACAGGCTAGGGTAGGGTACGGCAGGGTAGGGTAGGATAGGGTAGGGTAGGGTAGGGTAGGGTAGGGTAGGGTAGGGTAGGGTAGGGTAGGGTACGGTAGGGAGGGTACGGTAGGGTAGGGTACAGTAGGGTAGGGTACGGTAGGTTGCTACTTAGCCTATCCCTACTAAGCCTACTAGAATAAGCTTACTATAGGCTCGCTAAGCCTAAGTTAACAAAACCTTAGCCTACTGACTTTAAGCCTAAAGCCTAAGCCTTTTAAAATATAAAAAAATTCAAAATTCATTTAAGCCAACTTCCTGTACCCAGACCGTCGCTACGAAGACATGTTACAGCAAGTCTATTCTGACTTGGCGGTATACTGTAACAAAAAGGGTGACCTTTCACGGTACGGTATGGTGGTGTACATTTTGAGGGATTTTGAGGAGTTTGCTCTCGTACTGAAGGAATCAACGTTTATGGGCACGTTATTGAATGACCACTACTTCTTTGGGCTCAGCAAAGACGTGTTTAAATAGTACTATATATAGTAGGGTAGTACTGTATATGTTTTGTATGTTACTATAAAGCCGTACTGACCTATTATGTATTTATATTTTCTTGTACAAATGTTAATAAATATTTACAAAATTTAATACTCAGTAGTACTAATGGTACCCACTAACGTACTTTTGTAAATTTAAAAAAAAATTTTAATTTTAGGTAAAATTTAAATTTTTGCGAAAGAAAAATTCGAAATTTCATTAAAATTTCATTCATTTTTTGTTACTTTTACATGGTAAAGCGGTGTTTTTACTCGGTTACGCTTTTGTTTTACTGTCTGTTCAAGTAAACTAAGTTCTTGCCATTTTTTGTTTTGTAAACAAAGTTCTTGCCATTTTTTGTCTTGTAAAGAAAGTTCTTGCCATTTTTTGTTTTGTAAACAAAGTTCTTGCCATTTTTTGTCTTGTAAAGAAATTTCTTGCCATTTTTTGATCTGTAAAGAAAGTTTTTGCCATTTTTGTTTTGTAAACAAAGTTCTTGCCATTTTTGTTTTGTAAAGAAAGTTCTTGCCATTTTTCATTTTGTAAAGAAAGTTCTTGCCATTTTTGGTTTTGTAAAGAAAGTTCTTGCCATTTTTTGTTTTGTAAAGAAAGTTCTTGCCATTTTTTGTTTTGTAAAGAAAGTTCTTGCCATTTTTTGTTTTGTAAAGAAAGTTCTTGCCATTTTTCATTTTGTAAAGAAAGTTCTTGCCATTTTTGGTTTTGTAAAGAAAGTTCTTGCCATTTTTTGTTTTGTAAACAAGGTTCTTTCTATTAATTATAACCTCTTAGGCCGAGCCAGAATTCCGTAGCCTAAAGCAATGCCAAGTCCGAAGCCTTTGAAGTCGCCGAAGCGACGTCGCAGAACCGTCATCGATGACACGAAAGCGAGCCAGAAAAACTCGTCCTCGCCGCAGGAAGACGACACCCCTCTGCCCGAACTTACCCCGCCCATCAGCGACAGCGAGCGAAACGAAAAGCTGGCGCGGGCCGAAAGCTACGACCAGTCGATGCTGCCACCGCCGGATAAAGAATCAGAATTCGTGAATCCACACCTAAAATACGAACATGCCATAGCCTCGAAGAACTTCGAACCCGGCGAAACCCTGGCCAACATTAGTGCTGGCGAATGGGAGAGGGCGGATCCGGCCTACAAACCCGAAATGATCAACGAAAAGATGAAGGAGGTGGGTTACTGTACATTGTTGTGGGGCTTTTCGAAGGTAGGAGTACTGTGTGAGAGGGTAGGATAGAGTGCTATTATGTGAGGAAGTAGGGCTTTTGGGAAGTAGGGTAGGGGTACTGTATGAAAGAGTAGGGTAGAAGTACTGTATGAGAGGGTAGTGTAGGGGTACTGTGTGAAAGGATAGGGCTAATGAAAGGTAAGGTAGGAATACGGTATGACTGAGTAGGGGTACTGTGTGAGAGGGTAGTGCTAATAGAAAATAGAGTAGAGTTACTTTATGAGAGGGTTGTATATGGGTACTGTATGGGAGATTAGGAGTACTGTGTGAGAGGTTAGGGCTAATGGAAAATAGAGTAAGGTTAGTGTATGAGAAAAAGTATGAGTAATGTATGAGAAAAGAAAGTAGGGGTGCTGTATAAGAGAGTAGGAGGGGGAGGGAGGGGGGAGGTGAAAGGTAGGGTAGAGATACTGTATAAGAGAGGCCTTACCTTACCCTACCCTACCACATCTTACCCTACCCTATAGTAACAACTACTGTATTCTTAGAACAAGATCTCGGTATTCCAAGCCAGTCAGACAAACGTTGTAGAGGGAAACTCGACCGTACTCAAAGCCAAAGGATCTTCGAAGCGGAAAAAAGGTAAAATACGATTACAAACTAATTAATACAAGCCTAAATCTACATTTTAGACTTAAAAAATACACTTTACAAATTTTTGAAATTATCTTTAAATTCCATTTTTAAACTTATATTACACTGCCATTCCAGCATCACCTTCACCCGCGCCCGACAAAGCGGCCCTCATCGGCCAAATGGTGACAAAAGTGATTCGAGAGTACCTAAAAGGCAAAAACGAGGATCGAATTCGACTGGAAATCCGACTGGTCGACGAGGACGACGTGCCATTTGAATTGGCAACGGCCGTGAGGAAAGACGCAAAGCCGATGGACGAAAGGGGCGGGGTTGTGACCAAAAAATCGCCAAACAACAAAGGATGGCATTCTTAAATTGTCCTGTTTTGTGTGTTAAGGGGATGAGAATAAACAAATTTGAATGAAGTGTGTAGTGTATACCATTTTGTACCAAAAATTATTTAAACAGTACTAATTTGAACTTTTAGTACCATTAGTACCAAAAATATAAAAACAGTACTAATTTGAACTTTTAGTACCAAGAAGTATAGAAACATTACAAATTTAATTGTTTCAACCATTTCTAATGTTTCTCGCGCAGGTTTCAGCGTATAACTTGTCGCCAAATTTTATTTTCTTTGATCCCTTTCCCATGAGATATTTGTCACAAACATCCGTATATGAGTGTCGAAATAAGTGCTGAAGAGTTCAGGAATGTTGAGGTAAGACTTCAGGCTATTTATGTTAATTTTTTAAATGAATTTAGTTTTGTTTGGGCAGTCAATATTGCATATTCTTGATATTTTCTTGATTTTTAATAGTTTTTCTTTATTATTTTTGATTTTCTAGCTCTTTCTTGAAAACTTGTGTATTATTTTATAGTTTTAAAAATTCCCCGTTTAATTCTACATCTATTGTTTGTATTTTCAGGAGATTAGAGTGAGGAAGCGCCTTTCAGCGCTCCCACGAGATCGTATCTACGACTATTTTGCTGGCGTGGACAAGATCCTTAAGGATTTGGCCGATCAACGTCTGGAACTGGAGGCAGAAGAGCTTCTGAGGCTGGAGAGTTTGAAAGATGCTTATTCTTTTTGCTTTTCTTCTAGAAATGAGCTGAATTCTATAAAGAATCAAGCTCAAGAGCTTGTTGTAGATGATCAAAACAGGAAGGAGAAAATTTTGAAGGATGTGAAAGAGGTAAGTCTTATATTTTTATTGTTATATGTTTAGAAAGCTCCTGCGTTGATGGAACATATCAAAAAGTTGGCAGAGATGAAGACAAGGCTGGTGGAATTGAAGTTTGCTCAACCGTTCGAGATGGAGATCGAGAACATCAAGGTGGCGTTGGTTTCTAGAGATTATGAGCTACTGATGAGTCGATATGAAAGCACGATCCTTGAATCTTCTAGAGTATGTTTTTTAGTTGTTTTTTATGGTTTTTAGACGAGTTTTTCAATGAAAAAACAGCCTATATAAAGGATAATGTTATCGTTTAGGTCCCACCTCCATTATTCCAATATTTCGAGTCGAAGGCTGAATCTTTGGACATATACCTATTAGAAAAGCTGGAGAAGGACCTTTACCAAACCTTCGAGAAGATTAGATTCCCATTTGAATACTCAGTCGACTTCCGAGCAGTAAAATCAGAGCTAGAGACGACGATTCAGATTCTTCGGGCAATCTTCACAATTGTTAATCGAAATGGGCAGAAATCGGCGAAAGATGTGCTGGGACTGGTGACAAAGGCCTTCGAGGAAAGATTCAACTTTCATTTTTGGGGATCCAACAAAACCAATGATCCAGCGAAGCCAGAATGGTTCTTCAAACAAACGTTGGAATGGATAACATATAATGGTGACTACTTCTCGATTTATGTGCAGAAGCTTTGTGATTTGGTGAGTTTTGAACTTGATTTTGTTTTGTTTTAGGTAGTCATTTAGGTTTTTAAGGATTATATAACATTCTTTTACATTTTGATGGATAATATTGTTGTTATTTTTGATTTTCAAGTGAAAACAAACGTAAATTGAGGCTTTTAAGTGTAATATGGTTAAACTAGATTAATGTGATATTGTTTCAGTGGGATTTGCCAGAAACCGCAGACGAATTGTTCATAAACTGCTTGTTGAAGAAGGTAATGGATAAGGTCAAGTCTTTGTTGGGTAAACGGACTTTCATGTCGAATCGGATCTACTTTTCTCATCTTTTAGACGAAAGCATATCATTTAGTAACGAAATTAGTCAACGTAAGTTAGTTTTTGCTTTTTTTGTGGGGAAAATGGATGAAATAGCACTAAAATAAGGTTAATTTTGATGTTTTGATTAAGATATTGAGGTTGATGAGATTTTGGATTGGAAATTAAGATTTTTGATTAGCTTTAAGATATTTAAATGTTGTTTTTGATATAGAGTAGCTTTTTATAAAATATTTTTAATTTTCTGATATTATAGTATGTGAAAACGGGACCTCTTTGCCAGACGTGATGACACTATTTATGGACGCTTCGATAACCGATGAGTGGATTGAACTTGAAAAGGACACCTTATCAGCTGGAATTGATGACATTCTGGCTGATTCCAATGCCTATAAATGTCGTTTCGAAGAGGCAAAGGATATTGATAAGGTAAGGTCGTAATTTTGATGGTTTTTTGATTTTTAGGTGATCTTAAGAGTTTTTTTTTGGTTTTAAGTGACCTTAAGGGGTTTTCTGTTATTTTTGTTGTTTTTGACACGATTATTCGGCTTATTTTTCAGTTCATCGTACCAAACTTTGCCAACACCTTCATCTTGCTCATGAGGTCCATGTCAGAGCGCTACATGATGATCACAGTAGCCTCGATTCGCTCCAGATTCCTCAAGCATCAGCTCGTAATCATTGACGAATTCCTGAGTCGAATTGCCAGAATCTTTCACGAAGTCGAGTCTCCATGGCACGACCCCTATCCAGCACTAATGAACGCCGTATGGTACATTGGTGTGGTGTTGGACGAGTGGAATTCAGAAGACGCGTTCATAGAGCTGGGTGGATCAGATGGGCTACAGAGTTTGGCTAGAGGACCGTTTGATGAGAGCGCGGATTTGTATCGACATGAGTGGAGGAAGAGGGCAAAACATTTGTTAACATCGTTCAGGAGTATTATTGATGGAAAGGTTCAGGTAAGGTGACGTTTAGGCTTGGAATTGAAAAGTAGTGTTGGGGAGGGGTTTTTTAGGGTTTATAATTTGTAAAAGAAGCTTATAAAAGAGGTTTTAGGCCTAAAATAACGAGAACTTTAATATTTTTTCATTTTTTAAATTTTTTTTATTTTTAAAATGAAATTTTAGGTATACGCGACCCAAAACTGGTTCCAAATGAACCACTCGAAGCCTCAGGACTTTTCCCCAACCTTATCCAACTTTTTTGAGGAAATCCAGAACAGAATCGACTGGTTGAGAGACTACATCAGCGAGGACTCCAGGCTGTCCCTCTACAAGCTTTTGAACTTTGAAATTTGGGATTGCTTGATGATTGAAGTGGTCTCATCGAACTCTTTCACCTATAAAGCAGCAGCTCAGATGCTATACGACTTCCAAAGTGGCCTCATTCCGTTGTTGAACAAGGCGTTTGTGCCATCGAAACGAAACTTGAGCTTGGATTCGGGATTTCGACATTTTAATGTGAGCATGGAGAAGGTAAGAGACGGTTGATTTTAGAATTTTAGGTAATAACTTTGATTTTTTTTGAAATTTTTGCTTTAAAATGAGGATTTAAGAGTTTTAGGTAATAAATTTGATTTTTTTTCGAAATTTTGTTTAAAAACGAGGATTTTTTAAATTTTAGGTAATAAACTTTGGAAACATGTTCAATATCTTTTATTTTTAACTCTCTGACACTTTATCTTTACCTCGTTGTAGAGATGCTCCGAAGTCCTGAACGTCCTTCAACTCCTGGCATTACCTTCCCCAACAGCTATCCTTCTACGCGATGAGATCCAACGAATCCCAGAATCGATGGTACAGGAGAAGACGGCTCCATTCGGAATCAGTGACTTCAATCGGGAACAGCTCCTGATATTGTTCGAGCAGAGGTGTGATATGCATCGGATTGGTCGTTAATCATTGTGGATGGAATGTTTATTGTTTGTTAATACTGTATAAGCTATTACGGTTATATTGTAGTATATATTTGTACTGTAAATGTGTTACGGTTATACTCTAGTATATATTTATACTGTTAAGCTTATATGCTTATATTGTGGTAGATATTAGTACTGTTAAGCTATTGCAGTTATATTGTAGTAGATATTAGTACTGTTAAGCTATTACGATTATAGTGTAGTATATATTTATGCCGTTCAGATGTTACGGATACAGTTGTGATTGTAAAGGTGTTATTCATGTTATTATTATTATATTGGTGATATTTTTTGTTATTAAAGTCATTTCTTGCTCGTCTTTGATTCACAACACTGCTTTATGGATCGAATGTCCATTTGTATATCTTTTTATACTTCGAGCTCATTCCGTGCTTTCTTTGTATTTTTGCCTTTGCTTGAGGTTTCAGAAGTTATAAATTATATTTTTGGAAATTTTTGATTATTTTTTTTTAATTTTGAAGATATTAACTTTATGTTTTTTGTTTTAAAATGCTATTTTTAGATTAAAAATGAAGTTGTTTTCAAATTTTAGGTAATAAATTTGAGTTTGTTGGTAAAAAATTGTGTTTTGTACCTAAAATAATGTTGAATATGGCAGTTTTTAGATAAAAAAGTTGGTGAAAATGTAATTTTAGGTTTAAAAGAGTGTTAAAAATGCGGTTTGTTACCTAAACTAATATAAGAAAAGGCTTTTTTTTTATAAAAAGTAAGTTAATCAAAATCTAGTTTTATGTCTAAAAAATGGTTTTAACTGCGATTTGTTACCTAAAATTATATTTAAAAATGCAGAAAAATTAATTTTATATCTAAAGAAGGGTTAAAACTGCGGTTTGTTACCTAAAATAGCGCAAAAAGAGGCTTTTTCTGTATATAAAAGACAAAAAATTGAAGTTTATACATAAAATAAAGCTAGAAATGTAATTACATGTCCAAAATAACCTCAGAAATCTATATGATCAAGGGCCTACTTTAATATTTTTGAGAACTTACCTCAATATTTTCAAGAACCTACCTTAATATCACTGATCCCTTCCAGAAACCATGAAGCGAGTTCGTTCTCAAGTCCAGGAGTTCAACGAAATTGACGATGTTCATATGGTCGTATCCGGCTTCTTTCCAATCGTGGTCGATATTGTCAAGCACGGCTACGCGCGGACCGACAACCAGGGCCGATACACCGCCAATGGCACGGTAACTCAGGTGCACTCGGACCACGTTAATTTTTTGGTTGATTGTGGAGCTCCAAGCACGTTTTGTGAGTTGGGAAGGGGAATGATGGTTTTAAGGGGTGGTCAAGTTTTGGCAAAAAAAAGTTTTTTCTTGTGAGGGGAGGACTTTTTCACAAAAAACAAATTTCTTGAGGGAGGACTTTTTCACAAAAAAAGATTTAATTAGGACTTTTTCACAAAAAAAAATTTTTTTTGAGGGAGGACTTTTTCACAAAAAAATTTTAAGTAGGACTTTTTCGCAAAAAAAATTTTTTTTGGGTGAGGGCCTTTTCACAAAAAAAAATTAATTTAAAATCTTGCTTTCAGTGAACAATATCGAAGGTGGTGTGGATGCCATATTAATCACACATTGGCACAGCGATCATTGTGGTCGATTGGCCGACTTTAAAGGTGTTCCAGTACTTCCGCCGGCCGAGTTTCGCGAACTTTTAGCTAACACGTCATTCCTCGGCGATGACGTCGAGCTCATGGAACTGAAAGGACATACCGAACAGGATTTAGCCGTCATTGTCAGGGGGAACGGTGGCGATCCTATCGCTATTGTTGGTGGGTTTTATTTTGTTTTGTGGTCGAAAAGTGGGCGGAAATGCACGTTTTTGGGTATTGCGAGGTCAAAAAGTGGATAGAAAAGGCTTTTTTTTTTGAGAATATCGAGGTCAAAAAGTACGCAGATGTTGAGTTATATTAACAATATCACATTTCAGGCGATCTATTTGAAAACGAAGAAGACTTCAGAAACCCAAAGTACGAGAACGTGACCGATCGTCAAGCCTACGAAGAATCGAGACGAAAGATCATAGAGAAGGACCCACTGGTCATCGTGCCCGGTCATGGACCGCCATTTATGATCCGCCAAAGCTACGATGTTAGATCCTACGGCGGCGTGAAGGTGAAGCACCTTCTCCGAGGCAAAGGCACCAAGCAGTGGGTTGTGTGGGGAGGAGACAGGGTCATCGCCATAAATTGTCCGAATGAATGCAGGTTTTTAAATTTTGGCTTAGCTTTAGATCTTTAGGCTTGCATTTTTAGGCTTAGCAATGAGTGTTAGGAACGGCAGGACATATTTAGGCTTATCATTGTCTTTTTAGGTTTAGAACTCTATTTTAGGAATGGAAAAACATGTTTAGGCTTATTATTGTATTTTTAGGCTTAGCAATGGATTTTAGGAATGACAGAACATTTTTAGGCTTAATATTGTGTTTTTAGGCTTATCAATGAAATTTAAGATTTGCTAAGGGCATTTAGGCTTAACAAGGGATTTATTAGGCTTACAAGAGATTTTTAGGCTTAGCGGACTATATCTTTAGGCTTAATATTTTTTGTTTTAGGCATTCGACCAGAGCACGTGACCGATCTTGTCATCCTGAAGCCGTGTGCCGCTTCCACCAAGTACATGGCGTCATACAACAGAAGCCGAATCTACATGGCCAACGACGTATTAACTTACCCGAACATCTACGAACCCTTGACAGATGACAATCAACCGCTTCAAGGCTTGATTCATGTCGTGAAGGTGAGAGGTGAGGAGCTGGAGGTCCAAATCCTGGTGGACGGTCGGTGCGTGGAGGCCATCAATATGGACTGTGAATAGGCTTTATGGATACTAATATACCTTTCTTGTACTATAACTTTACTTAACATACCACTTTATCTTTGAATGTTCAGGTTACTATATTATCTATGGATGTTGTACTGTATTTTACATGTCTAACCCTTCATTATGATTGTACTCAATATTATCAGCCTATAATCTTCAGGACTATATCACCTGCCTTTTTGTAACGATATTAAATATTTTAAGCTTATTTTTTATTTATTTGTCCCGTATTTGACTTCAAATTGTAGGCTATTTTAGTAATTATTGTATACCTACTTTGTCTATCATCATATCAAGTGAATACTTTTATATTGCAGGTGCTATAAAATATAATACGAGGTAAAAAACGTTGAAGTTTAGTTTTTAAAGATTTTTTTGTCGTTTGAAGATGTTGTTATACTGATAAGACTTTATTTCGAATTCTAAAAGCACAAAGGTTTAAGCGGATTCGAACTTTTTTGGATTTTCGACTTTTTGGTTAATGATATCTTGGTTGGATAACAAGATGTGGGTGTGAAAACTGGTGAGTATGTACCGCTGTGTATGCTTTACAATTGTTTTGAAAAAGTGTTTTGACAGTTGCAACTAGTTGGCGTTTTTAATGTAAAATTTTTTAAAAAGTCCAAGCGGATTCGAAGTTTTTTGGATTTTCGAGTTTTTGGTCAATGGTATCTTGGTTGGTTAACGAGATATGGTCAACGAAAATTGGCGAGTATTTACTGATATTTGTGTTCTACAATAATTTTGATACAATTTTTTTGACAGTCTTTGGCATTTTCAATGTGAAATTTTAAAAAAAGTCTGGGCGGATTCGAACTTTTTTGGATTTTTGAAGTGTTTGACCAGTGATAACATAGTTAAACGACAAAGTATATTTACGAAAATTGGTGTGTATGGATTTCTGTGTATGCTTTACAATAATTTTAAAACTGTTTTTTGATAACCCTTCTATAAAATGCAAAATTAAATAAAATGTCCAGGCGGATTCGAACTTTTTTCAATTTTTGACTTTTTGGCTATTGATATCTTGGTACAAAAGCAAGATATAGGTATGAAAACGGTTATATACATAACTTTTTATGTATTGTAACGATTTTTAACACTTTTTAAAAAAATTCAGCTTCCAATGCAAAATGGTTAGTGTTTTATTTTCGTGTATTATCTACATTATTATTGGATTACATAGGTCAGTACTGTATTATTGAGTTGATATTGGTGCATAATAGTACTATATCATACAGTAAATGATATACAATACAGTAATCAAACTTTGTGATGTGTTGTAAGATACAGTACACAAAAAAGTACTGTATTGTATGATACAGTACTCAAATAGTACTGTATTGTATGATTAAATACTAAATGATATTGCACTAACGGTTAGTACTATATTATAGGGTTGATACTATGCGCATAAGTGGATCATACTACAAATGTACATGTGTCTTAGGTAGCCAATACCATATATATTACCGTAGCCATTCTACTCTTCCTTCAGACCGGACTGATGACAGTACATCAGCACGTTCCAGTTGAACAAGCACGTCACGTCGGTACGGCTGATCGACGAGATTCCTTCGCCGGCGGGGTCACAGAAACGAAGACAACGGTTGCCCACGCCAAGTTTGTTGTCGGACAGGTTCAGGTGTTCGCAGCACTTTCTGTTGTCCTGGTTCTGGGAGGCACAGTAGAGCACGGTGCTCATGTGCTTCAGGTCACATTTGCCGGTTTTCACTGATTGGAGAAGCTGAAATTTGAAAAATTGTTAAGATAGGGTACGGTAATGTAGGATACGGTAGTGTAGAGTAAGGTGGGTTAGAGTGGGATACGGTAGGGTATGGTACGGTAGGATACAGTAAGATACTGTAGGATAGAGAAAGGTAAGATAAAATAATTTAGGGTACGGTACGGTAGGACACGGTACGGTAAATTACAGTACGATAAAGCGCGTAAAAAATCTTACCAAGTTTCTAGCGGTCAGCTCATCAGTCTCATATTGACATAGGGCCTGACAGCCCTCTGGAGCGTACTGACGGCAGCAATGGGCGAACAACGAGTCAGCTCTCTCCTTTGGTACACAAGGAGCATAGTCTGTCTCGGGCGTACCACATTTGGCATCTTGAGCTGACACAACGCATACTGTAGCCAAAATCACAAAAATGGCGCTGCGGTACATTTTGAAATTTGACAAATTTTATGAATTTTTTGGTGTTTCAAAGGTAGTTTTTGAAATTTAAAGTTAATTTCTATAAAATTCAAGGCAGGGAATGTTGTTGTAAAAAGTGTAGGGTGTGGAGAAGTTGTTACAGCGAAGAAAGTTGAGCTTGGAGTTGAAAAGATCTAAATATTGAGTATAAAAGTTAATTTTTTAAGAAAGCTTTGATTTTTGAAAAAAACGAATATTTTTAAATTAAAAAAAAATTTTTAATTTAATTTTTACTTTTTAAGACGTAAAAAAAGTTTATTACTTAAAAACACAAAAAAAGAACTTTTTTTCTTAATTTACCTTACCCTACTCTGCCGTTTCCTACTTTACCGTTCTCTGCTTTACCTTACCCTATCGTGCCTTACCCTATCATACTCTACTCTAATCTACCGTATGCCATCTCGCACTTAACTATACTATACTTATATTGTCTTGGCCTGATTTTGCTTGTCTTGTCAAGCTACTCCCTGCTCTGCCATACCATGCTCTGTCCTACTCTACTCTAAACTACCGTATCTTATCTTGCTTTATCCTATACCACTCTGTTCTATCCTAACCTTACCTACCCTACCTTACTTTACCTTACTGTATCCTAGTCTATCTTGTACTATCCTGCCCTACTCTATTCTATTTTATACTACTCTACCACGTCCTGCCCTACTCTATCTTGCTTTTATTTTACTCTATATCGCTTTACCTCACTCTAGAACGTTTACATTATTAAGCAACTTCTATCTCGTCCTACCTCACTCTAAAACATTTAGATTATTAAAAAAACTTCATAATCCTTACCTTTATAGTTTAGGTATCAAAGATTTCACACTAAAACCTTTAATTTGAATTCAAAAAACAGTTTTTCGCCCAAAAAACGGCTGTTTTTGTCACGAAAAAAGTGGCGTTTTAAGCACGTCGAGCGATTGGGAATGCTGTGTCGACGGCGGATCGAATGTGACTTGAATTTAAAGCGAAATGGCATCCGGTTCGGTGCCGCATCCGCAAACCCTTTCTTCACGTTGCACAATATGAAAGTGGCGCTCCGGTTCCGAAACCAGATGAAAGGGAAAGCTGTGGGAAGAATGTAACAGGTTTCTGGTTTGGCTTGTTCTTCTCGCTTCAAGGTTAGGATTAGCAGAGGAAAAAGGTCAACGACTGTCGCAAACGATCCGCCAAATTAATGAAGTTGAGCGGTTTGGGAGGAAAAACAATGACAATATTTAAGTTAACTTTACAATAGGTCAAGTAAATACTGTAAATAAAGTATTTACTAGACATATTGTATATAAATAACAATCGTTAATATATGTAAAACTTTGTGATAAAGGCATTGCCAAGACAAATTTAAGGCTACAGAGGACAGGTGAGCACCTGAGAGGGGGGGGCAGAGTGAAGCACAGATAGATGCAGGAGTAGGGGAAGAACAGAGTGAAACAAAGGTAAGTACTGGGTAGGGAAAGAGCAAAATAAAAAAAATAAAAAAAAATTTTTACAAAATTTTTTAGGTGTGGTATTTTTTGAAAAAGTGAATTTAAGGAGGGGGAAAGTAAAAAATTTAAGAGTAGGGTAGTTCAAAAAATTTTTCTTTGTCTCTGAAGCTAAAAAATCGAAATAATTTTTATCGTCCCCCCCCCCGCCGCACTAATGGTGCACATTTTGTTAAGCTTTAATGCAGGGTAAGATAGGGTACGGAATTTTTTAATACTTCTAGTACTAGTGGCACACATATTAGTTAAATATTGCAGAGTAGGATAGAGGTAAGCAAGGCAGGTTAGGGTAGGATACTGTAGTCTACTAAAAGACACGATAAGAAAGGGTACGATATTTTAGGCACGGTACGACAGTGTAAAGTTGGGTACAGTAGCGCACGGTCGCATAAATTAAAATCGGTGAACGCTATTGTACTATAAGGTAGGGTAGGGTAGGGTAGGGTAGGGTAGGGTAGGGTAGTTTAGGGTAGGGTAGTTTAGGGTAGGGTAGGGTAGGGTAAAGTAGGGTAGGGTAGGGTAGGGTAGGGTAGGGTAGGGTAGTTTTTTATATCTTTCAAGGTCATAAAAGTGCATAATCAATTTCGAATTGCAACTTTGATAAAAAGTGTCTTGTTGTGTCGCGGAATTGATTGTTGTTTTCCGCCTTTGTTTGACGGCTTGCTCTTTCGGTTCGAACTTCGCTTTGCGGCTTTTGATGACTTCAACTAATCAGTGGTTAAAAAAATATTGTTCATGGCACTTTTACAAATTGTTTTAAAATTTTAATGTTTTTTAAATAAATATCAAAATTAGCACCAGAACTTTCTACAACTACTAAAAAATCACCAAAAATTAAAAACTGCTGCAGAACGATAAAACAACGATGAACTTTAGGTAAAAAATTTAAAGTTTTTCAAAAATGTGCATTGTAAAAGAAGATTATATGACATTTTTTGAGTAATAAAGCAAAATATAACATTTTATGTTAAAAATGAGAACGTTACTATATACATGTTTCTTAAAAACATGGATTTTATGGCATTTTTCATTATCGGTAAGGTTTTTATGACATTTTTCTTTAAAATGCTTCTCTATAACATTGTTCATTAACAGAAATGTTCTTATAACATCCTTGATTAAATTTTCCTTATGACATTTTTCTTTAACGCTAAGGATTTTATGACAAATGTCCTTAGTAGTAAAGTTTTTGAAACATTTTTTATTAAAGTACAAATTTTATGGCACGTTTTCTCAAAGGTGATCATTACATGACATTTTTCATCAACGAAAAAGCTTTATGACATTTTCTATTAAAGGTAATCTTTTTAATGACATTTTTTGTTAAAGATGAGGATTTTATGACATTTTTTGATTAAGAGAACTATTTTATGTCATTTTTCATTAAAGCTGAGCAGTTTATGAAGTTTTAAACCAACAGCAAGCTTGTACTGACATTTTCCAACAAAGGTATTCATTTTACGACATTTTTCATCAACAGTGAAGTTGTTATAACATTTTCTATTAAAGGTGAGAATTTTATGCCAATTTTCAATAGACATACTTTTTTCAAAATATGTTGCAAATGAAGGGTTTATCAATCAAAAACCCTAAAAAAGCTACACCCTTTGGATAAGCCTTCAGAATCCGAAAAAGACGCCTTTGAGCAAGCCTTCAGAATCCGAAAAAGACGCAAACGACGTGATAGAACGACAAGCTGAGGGGGCGACGGAACGCGCTGTTTCATTATTTTTCCGGAATCAGAGAACAAATCCGAAACAAGTCGAAGAAAGATAACGCCGCCCTTTCAATCAACGCAAGGTTTAAGCATAACGAAACCATTGATACGCTCACTTCGGCTTCTGATGGCTGAATTGGGCGAGGTTGGGCTTCTGAATTCAATAGAGATTGGGCTTCTGAATTTAAGTGGTATTAGGCTTCTGTATTTAGGTGCTATTCAGCTTCTGAAACCTGAATTTAAATTAGACTAGGCTTCTATTTAAAGCAATATTAGGCTTATATACAGGGGTAATATTTGACTTTACAGTACTCAGTTCTAATTGAATTGTTAGCTATAGTACTAAGTTGTAATTGAACTACTAGCTATGGTGCTATGTTGTGCTTAGGATTAAGTATGTTAATTGATTGTACTTGGAGTATTAACTATAGTACTAGGTTATACATAAAGTATTAGGTATGGTCTTATGGTGTAATTGAAGTATTAGCTATGTTACTAGATTTTACTTGCATTTTTAGCTACGGTACTAGGTTTTAAATGTATTATTAAATATGGTACTATGTTTTACTTGAATTATTATCTATGGTATAAATAGTTAACTTGAATTTTAAACATATGATACTATATTGTACTTCAATTTCTGCATTATAGTACTCTTTTATAGTAAGGTCGAGAGTTTTTTTATGTTTTTTAATACTCATACTGATATATTATTAATATAAAAATGTCGAAACAAGTCTTGACGCATCAAAAAGAGCTTTTTAAAGTTTTTTAATCAATTGTGTCCAAGTGGATTCGAACTTTTTTTGATTTTTGACATTTTGAATTGTCTATAACTCGGCCAAAACATAAAATACAAACATGCAAATTGTACCATGTATACTACTTTCTATGGTTTACAATATTTTTTACAAATTTTTTAAAACTTGTACGTTAAAGGTACTGTAATTTGAAGATACGAAGGTAGCATCATCAGTAGTGAAATCAAGCTAAACTTTCTTCTGCCATTTTATATCAGACTATCTTAAAAAGTTCTGTGTTCTCTAGCACCATTTATACACTTTCCGTGCAATCTATAACTACACCATGCTATATAGCACGTACAACCCTCTCACCTTTTACCAACTTCCAGGCAGAACATGTTGCCACTATTGATCGCCCTCCTCCTGGCCCCCGCCCTAAAAGCCTCGTTTTGTGGACCGGCGGCGGTACCGTTCAGTTTCGAAGCCCTACCCGATGGCCAGCCCGTGCTGGGCTGCGCCCGTCCAACCTGTTTCGGCTGGAATGCCGCCGGCAAACCAGCCGGCTCGCCATCGTTGTTCTATCGGGTTAACAAGAAACCGGACGGATACTTCCGCAAAAACGCCGAGATTCAGGTCAGGAATCTGAACGAGAACGAGGCTCAGTTCTTCCAGGCTCAGACTGCTGTAGGTTTTTGGTTTTAAAGGTTATTTTAGGTAACAAACTGGGTGGTTTTTTGAAGAAAAAATTATTTTAGGTAACAAAATCGGTTTATTTGGCCAAAAATTTATGTATTAGGTAACAAATAGGTTATTTTTGGCTAGAAATTAAGATTTTAGGTAACAAAATGAAATATTTTGAAAAAAAAAAATATTTTAAGTAAAAAATTTTTTTTTCAGAACTGCGCAGCCACTTACGACTCGGATCAATGTGCTTCTGAAACTCAATGGGTTGGAGGCATTGGACCTCTTTCCAATGTTACTGGTCTTCCGTAAGTCTAAACTTCACAAATTTTTAAAACATTTTTATTATTAAAGCTAAAAATTTAAATTTATTACCTGACATTCGAAAAAAATCCTAAATTCATACCTAAAATTCCAGACTAGCCCTTCAATGCTGTGACTACGACCCCCTCCTCCTCTCCCAAGATCGAGGCATCGCCGCCGTTAAGCCCGGACAAATCGTGATCGGCGGAGAAATCTTGAGCGGCGAACGTCAGTACGCGTTTGACTACATCAGTGACATCGTGAAAAACGTTTCCAAGGACGGTACGGTGGCTTATGATGTGTATGTGCGTCGTTTGCCCTGCCTGCCACAGCCTTCCGAAGTCACGGTGTCGGTGGAGCGAAGCGTGTACGCTGAGATTGGAAACAGATTCGACAAGAAGTCGAAGCACGACCGGAAGGGCTCCAAAGCGTACCAGGCTCCACTCCAAGAATTCGGAGAGAATAGTAACATCGCGTTGGAGAGCTTGAACAACAATGAAGTTGGTACAGGCGCACGAAACGTGGTGGACAACCAAGAAGGTGGACAGGAAGTACAATCGACCGGTCAGATCGTGTCTCAGTCGGAAAGAGTTATCCTTGAGCCAACTGGCCAAGAGACAGTCCAAGTGGTTCAGGGTCAAGCACCAGTTGCACCAAACTCTGTAGGCGGCGGTGGAGAAACTGTAGTACAAGGTCCATTCGTAGCCGACGGTGAAGCCGATGAAGTTGTAGACGCGATTCAAGGTCTCGAGCTTCCCGAAGGTCAAGTTCCAGCCGGTTTGGTTGAAAGTGCTCCAGCTGCACCAGCTTACAGCGGCGGCTATGGAGGTGGTTATGGTGCTGGAGGTGGTGGTGGTGGCTCTGCCTTCTGCTTCTCCGCCGATACCATGGTTACTATGGCTGATGGTACCACGAAACGTATGGACGAACTGAATGTAAATGACTGGGTTTTGTCAGCAAACCAGTCCAGTCAAGTCCAGACTCCAGTCGAGTCTTGGATTCATAGAATGCCCAACCAAGAAGCCGAATTCCTGAAGATTCAGCTTGAAGACGGCAAGAGTCTGAAGATCACGGACAAGCACTACATCTACAAGACCAAGTGCACCAAACAGAACCAGCCTTTGAAGTTCTACGAAGTCAGCATCAAGCCAGTCTACGCCGAGCAAGTTACCGTAGGCGAGTGTCTGTACGTGTATGAAGATGACGTTTTCGTCCAAAAACAAGTCACGATGATCGAGAAGATCGTGGAGACCGGCATCTACGCTCCGATGACAGCCAATGGTGACATCATTGTGAACGGCATCTTCGCTTCGTGCTACAATATTCTGAATTCGAGCGTCATGCAGAAGACTTTCTTCAACTCCTTCAAGAACTGGCCTAGCTTCATGGGCCAACAAAATGAAGTTGATCTACCAATCTTCACTCATGTGGTACTTGAGCTGATGGAGTATGTCCTTCCAAAAACTCTCCTCTAATTTCATACTCAAATAGAACAAAATTTTTTGATCCACCCCCAGACCAAAATTACCCCGCTCGGACATTGTTCTCTAATATTAATAATAATAAGTGATTGTTACTAATAAATATGTTATTTCGTTAATAAACGGTTTTAAAATATATTGTAATACTCTACTACTCTATGTATCATAAGTAGGTCCCACCACGAAAACAATCGCCCGCCGAAAGTTTATTCGAAACGAGTAGCTTTCCGATCGCAAAAAATGAATTCGCTTGCTGGTAAAAACGACGCAAGTTTAACATAATCTAACCTTAAATCGCCGTCAAAATGGATATCACTCGTCGACGAGTATCAATCATGATAAACCCGACAGCTTCACCTGTTCGTGGCCGGGGTGGGAGAAGAAGGTAATAATAATTTTTGTTTTAGCTTTTAATTTTTGGATAAAATTTAGTGTTTTAACTTGAAATTTGAAAGGGGAATGGATTTATTTCTTTATATTTAGGTTGTTGTTTTATGATTTCTATTGTTTTAGAATGTCAGTGGACGATTCCACAGCCAATTTGGTTACTCGACTTCACACAGCCATGGAGACGTTGGACTCTTTATGGAACAAAGTCAGTTTAGATCAACCAGCTAGGGAATTGAGGATTCAAGCAGCTCATGAACATTTCTACGCTTTGCTCGAAGATATTGTAAGTTCTTTGCTTTTTTCGTTGGTTTTTAGGGTTCAAGACGGTATAGAAGCAATTCTTGATGGATAACTTAAAGTTTGACATCTGTTTGATGTGGTAAATTCATATCTTTATCTTTTTGAAGTAACAACAAGTTTTTGCTTTTTTAGGCTTAAGGTCAAGTTTTAAATTTATATTATCTATCAAGCTTTATAAAACCTACAAAACTTCATGTTAAAACATAAAATTTAGGTGGAAAGCGAGAAAGAGATGGTAGAAGGTGTAGAAAGCGATATCAAGACAGCTCTGGCTATGAATAATTCTCTTCGCGAAGAGCTTCACGAGGTACCTTTTAGAGTAAAGGACTTCAAGCCAATGTCGGTTTCGTTGCTGAAAGCTTTGAGAAAAGACTTGGAGAAGTTGAAGGCTTTAAAGGACAAGAAGATGGCCAAACAGTTGAGTATTTACGACGAGCTTTTGCAAGTTTGCACTGCTTTGGACGAGGAAGTTCCTTTCTTCGATGGTGTTGAAGATAAAGTAAGTTTTTTTAGATTTTATATTATCCATGTCAACTTTACTTTCAAAATTTGCTATTTCAGATTTTGTCGCCAGAGATTGTAGCCCAAATTGACGAGCTGAAAGATCAGAAGAAGCTGGAGTTTGAAGAACGTCTAGAACAGCTTACAACTCTTCAGAACAAGGCCAACAAGATGAATCAAGTTGTCAAGAACGTGTCTTTGGAGGAGTTTGAAAAGGAGCTTCTTTCTCTAGATTTTACTTCAAAGCACCGTGTACCTTTGAGTCTATCGTTTGTTCAGAGGTTTGAGAAGTTGCTTGAGAAGGTAAATTTTATAGTTTTTTTTTTTACATGATTTAGGACGTTCGGGAGGGTGCTAAAAAGTCTTGACGGTATTTTGCACTGGGTTGTAAGTTAAAAAGCGGCAAGTGTTTTAAGAGTTCTTGCTTTAATTTTCATGGTAATATTATAGTAGACAAGGCCTAAAATAAGCGAAAATACATAGTTTTAATGTTAGGGTTGCATTTTTTACCATTTTAGTTCGCTAATGAATACCAAAAATGGCTGGAAGCGATGGAGTTCGAATATATTGAAATGTACTCAAAGTTGAAGGACTTGGCTTTAAAATGCCATGCTTTGGATATTTTGGATTGTCATGAAGCTGAGTTTGATCCAGGTAGGTTTTGTTTTGTCACTTCTGTCTTATTATGGCAGAAAAAAGTTTTGTCGTTCCTTAACGTTGAATACGGTGGTAAAAAACGACAAGACTTTTCTGATTTTGATATTTAAAAAAATATTAAAAAGGTATACCTATTCATGTACATTATTATAGGCACCCACAGCGAAGACGAAATTAATCGCATGAGAGTCGATCTGGACCGTCTTCAAGGTCAGTACGAGACAGGACGTGAAGTCTACGACAAGTTCTTCGAATGGTACCAAGCCTACGAAGAGGTACAAGAATTGGAAGTCGAAATGCAAACAGAAGCCTTCAGAAAGAACCGTGGTGGATGTTTGAATCGAGCTCTACAAAAACAAAAGTCGCTAAAAGCGAAACAGCAAAAGGTCTTGGAGCAGCTGAAGGAGGTGAACGAGCTGTTGCCCAATGCCACTATTAATGGTATGTCAGCATATGATTTTGTAATGGACATGATCGAACAAAAGGAGATGTTGAAGGAGAACGCCAAGGTTATTAAGGTGGGTTTTGAAGGGTTTAACAAGGAGGTTCTTGGAGTTTTGTTACCTAAAATTCAATTTTTTTTAGTTTTAACTTTGATTTTGTTACATAAAATATTCTTTTTGGATTTAAAGTTTTGCTTTGTTATCTAAAATTTTATTTTTTATCAAAAAAGTTGTCTTGTTACCTAAAATTTTATTTTTAGACCGTAAGGCTTGTTATGTTGCCTAAAATTTTGTTTTTTCATTAAAAATCTATTTTTATTACCTAAGATTCTATTTTTAGACCAAAAAACTTGTTTTGATACCTAAAAACTTAAAAATTTCAGAAAAGAACTCGAGAAGAGCAGCTCAAGTACGAGCAACGATTCGGAACTCCACCTTCAAAGAGTATCCCAACTTCTAGAAAACGTCTTCAAACACCAAATACGGTAGGAGTGATCAGGAGCAAGAGAAAGCGATCTTCAAGTGTATCAGTTATTGAGCCAATCTCAATGAGTCGAGTAAGGTTTTTTGTTTGAAATGGTCTTGAAACTTAGTTTGTAAAGGAAGTTTTTGCCATATTTTTTTCTGTAAAAGAATTTCTTGCCATTTTTCATTTTGTAAAGAAAGTTCTTGCGTTTTTTTACTTTGTAAAGAAAGTTCTTGCTATTTTTTTGTTTTGTAAAGAAAGTTCTTGCCATTTTTTGTTTTGTAAAGAAAGTTCTTGTTATTTTATAGCTTTTTTCAAGTTTTAATACTTAATTTTTAAATTTTCAGGTTCCAATGTCATCCTCCCCGAAACCAGCGTTTGCCACTCCCTCCCGCACCCCAAGTCGACTAGTGGCTCCAAAAACATACCGGTCGGCACGTCGTTAACATTACCTACACTACTAATCTCACTTTTCATATTTTGGCATAGTATCCTGTAACTTTGAGGAAAAGAATTGTAAATATATTTTATTACTCAGTAAAGGCACTACATTACACTGTAAATGAAGAATGTTACTGAATAAAGGCAGTAAATCGCTCTGTTGATAAAGAATATTACTCTGTAGACATATTATATTACTCTGTAAAGGCATTTGTATACACAGTAAATGAAGAATATTACTCAGTAAAGGCATTACATTACTCTGTAACTAAAGAACAATGCTTAGTAAAGGCATTACATTACTCTGTAACTAAAGAACAATGCTTAGTAAAGGCATTAAATTACTCAGTAGATATATGTTACTCAATAAACACACCACTTTTGTTATATTGTGGTACCGGATTATCTTCACCTGTTTTCTGAATCACCTGCCCCTACCATTCCGTATTCACACCGGCTATAGAACAGCGGGTTTTAAAGCGTGGATTTGCGGTTGGACGTGGTATATGTTGGTTAGTTTGTTTTACATTACAGCTGGACATTGTGGTTGAGTTAGGTTGTAGTTGGGTTGAGTCATTGATGGGTTATAGTGGGGTAGGATAATGTAATGAAAAGATTTGGGTTTTGGTGGGGTAGGGCAATATAATGAAAGGAATTTCGGTTATAGTGGGGTAGGGTAGTATAATCAAAGGAATTTGGATTATAGTGGGGTAGGCTAATATAAATTTTGTGAATAAGAAGATTTTTCTATATTTTAGTGTTACAAATGATAAAAAGCTAACTTTTTTGAAGGGCGGGGTAAAAAAATATTTTTTTAATCTTAGGGGGTGTTTTTGATATTTTGCTTTCAAAGTAAGAAGCTTTTTCATATTTAATTGTTACAAATGATAAAAAGTTCATTTTTCGAAGGGCGGGGTAAAAAATGTTTTTTTAAATTTAGGGGTTGTTTTTTAACTTTTTTGAAAAAAAACATTGCTAGGTTAGAGATTGCCTCTGGGACTTCTAAACAAGGGTTTTGAACTGTTTTGTTATACATTATTCAAGCTATACAAAAATTTTTGTCGTTTTTTAACATAAGCAGTAATGCTAATTGACGACAAGACTTTTTTAAACCCGTATATATAGTTTTTGGCTTATTTTTTGAATAAAAACCGTAATATATAAACTGATTTAAGTTTGAAAAAAAAATTTTTAAAAATCTCATCTAACTTTAGCGATGAAACTCTTATCAGCTCTTCTCCTCACCCTTTTAGCCGTTTTCGTGGCTTCTACTGATCTTTGGGGTTTTGTCAAGTCAATCCCAGACGATGCTAAGGTCGAAATGAGAAGTATAATCAACAATAAAAACTTGACAAAAGCTCAAGTCATGGAGAAGTTGGACCAATGGGCTGGGAAACAAAACGAACAGTTTCAGGTACGAGTTTGTAAAGAAAGTTCCTGCCATTTTTTGTTTTGTAAAGAAAGTTTCTGCCATTTTTTGTTTTGTAAAAAAAGTTATTGCCATTTTTTGTTTTGTAAAGAAAGTTTTTGACATTTGCTGTTTTGTAAAGGAAGTTCTTGCTACTTCTTTGTCTGTAAAAACATTTCTTGCCATTTTTCAATGAGCATTCTAAAAATTCATTTTTAGGAGCAGTACGAGGACGTGAAGAACTTATTGGCTAGCCGTGGCTTGAGCAAGACTCAGAAAAACCCAACTGCCAATCCAGAAATCGACGAAATCCGACAAAACACCAGCTTGACTAGGCAACAAGAACGTGAAGCAGTCCAGGTAAGAAGTTTACCTTATCCTACCCTACCCTACCCTGCCCTACCCTGCCCTACCGTATCCTACCCAACCCTATTCTATTCTACCTTACCCTACCATACCCTACCCCACTTCTCAATAGCTCCATCATAGACCTATCGTAACTTGACTAAAGCACACGGTAGGGGTAAAGTAATCTCTGTCCCCTTCCATTTTTAATAAAGTACACACTTAACTTGTAAGACGATACTGAACCTTAGTGCAGGTGATATATTTTCCAGAAAATTCTTACTTCAAGTACCGTAACCACCACAACAACATCAGATAATGGAATGGACAATTTAGTCTAAAGTAACACCATTTCTTACTCACATTTGATCTTATCGTATGTTTACATCTCATTTTACAACGTTTATTTGAATAAATAGTTACATTAACAAACATTTTTTGTTTTTTAAATCTTTTTGACCACCCTCCCCCCAAGTTTTTTTATTTTACCCCTCTTCTATTTTTAATGCAAACCCCCCTTAAATATTTTTATCAATTTTTTCACACCCCTTTCACTTTTTATAAAACCTCCTCCCCACCCCACCCACACTTTTACATTTGCCTTCCCCTGCCTTTCTATAAATTTTACCCTGCCTCTGGAATTTGCTAAGTCAGCCGATTTTTTCAGTTTTTTTTCAAATTTCACCCTTCCCACATATTTTTTATAGGTTTTATCCACCCCTCCCGTTTTTTCCAGATTTATCTTGCCCTTATTTTTTACATTTCACAGTCACCCCTAAATTTTTTTATTCTCCTCCCCCCCCCCAACCTATTTTTTTTAAATTTTGTCCAACCCTCCCACTTTTTCAGCTTTACCCTCCCCCTAATTTTTCTACATTTTACAGTCACACCTTAACTTTTTGATTTTATCCCCCCCCCCATCTTTTTAAAATTTACCCCTCCCAACCATTTTTTTTTGTTTTTGTCCACTTCTCCCGCTTTTTTTTCAATTTAATCCTGCCCCTTAATTTTTTTACATTTTACAGCCACACCGTATTTTTTTATTTTACCCTTCCCCTCTAAGTTTTCAAATTTCACCCCCTCCCCCCCCCCTCCCTCTCCCCCCCCCCTTTACTACGCTCTTATAACCCTACTCTTTCCTAGACTACTTCAATCCCTACTCGTACCACGACATCTCCCCTCCCCTCCTGCGCTCAGTTTTTTACCTCCCTCCCCCCTTCCCTCTAAGTTTTCAAATTTCACCCCCCTCCCTTCTTTACCCTTAATAATAGACTTGTTTACAATAATGTCCGAAAAGAAAAGAAAGTTGTAAATAAAAAAACCCCCCTCCCCGAAAGGAAGTAGTGATAACCAGGCATCAGTTCTTCATTTCTGTCATTGGTTATCATGCCCAAGGTTATTTGCTCCGTTGTTCTCTTATTACTATTGACAGTTCAGGTCTACACCCAAAGTGTCGCCGTTAGATCGGTCCAAGTAAAAGGTGCTTTCAAGTGTGGTACTGAAGTGGCCAAGAATGCTAGAGTCGTACTGTATCGGGTACCCGCTAATGATGCTAAAAGTAAGGGGAGGGTGGGGAAGAGGAATGGAAAGGGGGGGGAGGGTTAATAAACAGATTTTGGTTTTAAGGATGGGGCGGAAGTAGGAGGGGGGGGAGGCAAGAACAGGGTAGGGAATGGCAGGGTACGGTAGAGTAGAACATGGCAGGGTAGAACTGAGCAAGGCATGGTGGGGTAGAATAGAAACATGGGTAGAGGTTACAGTAGAAAGAGAGTACGGATAAAGGTAGGAGTAGGGGTAAAGGTAAGGGTAGTCTAGACAAGGTTGGGGTACTATAATTCCATTTAAAACCAAAATTTTCAGAAATTAATGCCATTGAAGAGCTAGAATCTCGAGAAATCAGCCCAGCTGGACTGTTTGAAATCTCTGCCAATACTAATGGACGCCCGACTAATGAAACCGATTTGAAGCCGGCTATTCGAGTTTATCATCGTTGTGATGTTGATGACAAAAAAGTGAGTATTTTTTGATTTTTTAAGCATTAATTCCTAACTTAAGTTCTTGCCTTTAAGCTTATATTTTGAGATATCTACCTAGGAAACCATTTTAAACTTTAGGCTTAACGCTTCATAGTATAACCCTAAACTAAAAATTTAGACCTAAATTTGAAAGTTAAAACCAAAAGTTTAGGCTTAAATTTTAAAACACCATTAAGAAATATGTCAATTAAAAAATATTAGGCTTAAATTTGGACTTATCATAGACTTAACATTGACGTTTTTAGAAAAAAGACCAAACCCGTTCCTTCCAAGTGGCCGTTCCGGACAGTTTTGTTTCGTTGGGCAAAACGGCCAAACAAACTTTCGATATTGGGACTTTGAATCTTGAAGTAGGTTCAAATTTGTCATATTTAAACATTTACACGCACTTTTCTGACCCCCTCCCCCACCCGATCAAAAAGTTTGTGCCAAAGCATAACCTGATTACAAAAGGCTGGAAAATAAATTTACCATGCCCTGCAAACCTTTTTTTGGTTCTAACTTCACACCCCCTTCCCTATGAAAAATCAATAACCACTTGTTTATAGGGAGAGATTATGAATCAAAAATTCGAAAAAATAAATTTTTTTAAAAATTTTTATCCTCCCTCAATTTTTTTTTTTACCCTAGCCTACCCTGCCGAAATTTTTCCTCCTCTTACTCAAACTATATCAAAACCCGTATTTTACCCAATGTTTCAGCTTGAATACCCTGGAGAAGCATGGGTGAAGAATGACAAGAAGAAGGCCTAAGACTGTAACTTGCCCTAGTAATTATATACATTACATTATAGTAAAACAATAAAATCTTACAACAACACATTGTACTGTAAACTATACTATAAACAAAACTTGTGGTAATAGAAAAAACGTACTATATATACAGTATAATGATAAAAATGTACAGTACACCAATAAAAATATACAGTAAACCAAAGAAATGACAATTTATTTTTTCAAATCCGATGGCTTCTGATCCTTGTTATCTTTGGCATCTGGCTTGGTATCTTTTCCATCTTGCTTCGTATCTTTACCATTTTTAACGTCAGTACCAGTAGAACCACTTTTTCCATCAGTACCACCTTTAGCACCATCTGTACCACTTTTCGCTCCAGTACCACTGGCCCCATCCGTACCACTCTTCGTTCCAGCACCATTAGCACCAGTTGTACCACCTTTAGCACCATCAGTACTACCTTTAATGACATTACTGCCGCCCTTACCATCAGCACCACCTTTGCCATCACTACCACCTTTGCCATCATTAACATCGGTTGGCTTCAGTTCCTTGGACGATGTAGTAGTCACGGTACTCGACGAATCGGAAGTATAGGCATTGGCGGCCGGACTTTGGACCGCATTTGCACCAGTATTGATAACGGATTCGTACTTTTTCAGGAAATAACAATCCACATCGTAGGGAAGACCATGCAACACGTAGTACTCGTTGTCTATAATGAAACTGTTTTTAAGCCTAATTTAAGCCCATACTTTAACACTAATTCTAATACCTATTTTATCCGAAAGTTAATCCTAAAGCAAACTTTCTACACAAAACTAAGCCTAAACCAACCATATACTCTAACACTAAGCCTAAGACTTCTTTTGTCCAAAACCTAAGCCTAAACTATAAATTATACCCAAAATTAAACCTAAACCAACCCCATATCTAATACTAACAAGGAAAGTACCCTACCTGCCCCGCTCAGAATCAGCTCAAAATTTTTATATGAATTCTTTGTACCACCAATAGTACCCATAAAAAATTTTAGCTCGCGCTTTTGTGTTTTAAATTTAAATTATTTGGATTTCCCGCCAATTTGGCAAATTTGGCGTTGTGTTTCAAGCACTTTTTTCGGCTTTCCAGACAAGATACGCTTACAAATTTAAAAATGTAGGTTTATTCAAAGGTCATCTACCAGTATATCAAAGAAAAACTATTAAAAGTCAAAAAATGACAAAGTTACAAGCTTGAAACACAATGCCAACTTGGCGGGAAATTCAAAATGTCATTTTTTAATCTCGATTTTCTCGAGATTTCCTGGAAAGCGCGATTTAGTACTTTGCTGAACATCTTATATTTATATGACCTTTCTATATAAAAATTTCGAAGTCAATCAGAGCGGGGCAGGTTGGGCACTTTCCTTGTAAGCCTAAGACTTCTTTTATCCTAAAATTAAGCCTAAACCCACCGTATACTCTAATACTAAGCCTTCTTTTATCCCAAACTTAAACCTAAAGCAAACATTATACCCAAAATTAAGCCTAAACCTACTCGGCATAGGTCCTCGACACTTAGTGCACACAAAGCAGCACTTGTGGAACTGATGTCCCATCGCACTGATGGCTCTCTCCTTCAACGGCTTGTGACATCCATCACAAGATGGATGGTTCTCCTCCATGTAACAGTCGATGCAGATCGGCTTACTCAAGTCACTTTTGCATTGACGAAACTCCAATCGATCCGCCCCGACCGCCGCATTACAACGAATACAAGTCAGATGCTCACGGTGCCAAAACTTGTTCAATGTGAAGACAACGTTCGACTGAAAATGACGGTAAGTCTTGAAAAGTTGAGATTATTGTAGGCTATAGTACGGTCGTAGTGAGGGTAGGGGTAGTAGTTTAGAGTAGGGACAAAGATAAGTTTTAATACTCACCTTCAAAGCCTGCTCTCGAGTGATAATCAACTGACAACTCTCGCATCTGACAACCCATTTCTGTCGTTTCTGAGCACCACACTTGTAGCCGGCTGGCTTCTCGTCCAATACATTCTTGTGCAAGTTGAATTTGGCAACGTCACTGCTCAAGTTTTGGCTTCCAAGTCTGAAAAAAATTCAAAATTTTATTTTTAGGTAACAGACTAATATTTTAGATACCAAATCAGAGTTTAGGTATCAAATCCATATTTTAGATATCAAAGTCATATTTTAGGTATCAAATTCATATTTCAATCATCAAACTCATATTTAGGTATCAAAATCATATTTTAGGTAACAAAACGCGAAAAATCAACAAATAACCGTAAAAATAAGCTAATATCAACATGAAAAAGCATAGTTAAGAAAAACAAGGCTATTATAACACTAATAAAAACATACGGAATAAGGTCATGACCAATAGGCTTGTAAAACTTTCGCTCCATTTTTCACAACTTATGGCCAGTGAAATCGACCGCGCATCAAAAGCAAAATTGTCAAAATTACTTTAAATTTTAGTTCTTGACATTCTCAATCTATTCATGACTTTTGATATCTAAACTTGCACTGTTTTCATCAAAACGTTGACTTTTTCGCTATTTTTTAATATTACACTTGATGTTTTTGACGTAAAACAAGATTTTTATTAAAATAATAAAAATTTGAACTTTTTTGTCATTTTGTATTAATAAAACTTGAAAAATGTGTTTATACTTTAAAATAACTTGTATTCATCAAAAATGTCCTCTAAATTGACCAAAATAAATAATTTTCCCTTCCGCGCGGCGCCCCAAATGTTATTCGGCACTTGCAGCCCGCCGTGCCAAGTTATACGCCAGCTTTTTGCCGAAGAATTTCCTGACAAAAGTCGCTTTTCTCTTGCCTAAAATGGGCTTGTTTTTGTTGTTCTTGGGCGTTTTCAGGTGAAAATAATCAAAACAATAATCTCTTTTGTCCATTTTATATATTTTGACACAATTTATTTTTTTTGCGGGCTTTCATTGAAGCGGTCGAAAAGTAAATTCCTTTTTTATTGTATGAAGTAGTGGTGAAAAGGGAAAAAACTTTTGGACCGGTTTTTAAATTTTGTTTTAGTTCATTTTATGTTATTTTTACACGGTCAAAAATTTTTGTTTATTTTTGAGGCCTAAAATTTGATTTTTAAGCCTAAACTGTTTTTTCTAAGCCTAAACTTGACTGCTAAGCCTAAAATAGTTTGATATGCCTAAAATAGTGTGATATGCCTAAAATATTGTGTTAAGCCTAATCCTATAAGCCTAAAACTTATAAGCCTAAGGCTGTTAGGTTAAAGCCTAAGGATATTAGGTCTAAGCCTAAGGTTACGAAATTTAAATTTTGCGTTTATTAAACCCATGCCTACGTTTACTAAAATTAAGCCTAGTAAGCCTACGTTTACTAAGCCTAAGCCTAGGTTTACTAAACCTAGTAAGCCTAACGTGGCTAAGCCTAAGAAAGCTTGCGCGTGCTAAGCCTAATTATATTTATTGTTTTTTAATTTTATTGTTTTTCGAATTGAAATTCGACTTCATTTCCATGTGTATTATTCAAAAACCTTTCCAGAATGTTCATGTCCATCAACTTTTTATCCAAAAAATATTTTCCAAAAATTTTTCACATCTAAAACGACGTGTACTAACTCCAGATGATTCTTTTTTCGAAATTTGCATTCGTTGATCTCGTCGGGAAACGTCGGGAATGGGCTAGCCTTTGTCTTGACTCTCCTTTTCCACGTCAGCTTTTCGTTTCGACCCTCGACACGTCATTGGCCGGCAGCCAATCAGCGACGAGCACGTCCCCCGAAGCCCCGCCCCCACGTATAAAAAGGAGGTCGAGCAAAATCAATGTAAACTGGGGCGGTTACAGTTTTGTGACAGTCGATTTGATCAGAGTACTTCCGTGCTGGTTCGGCATACGTGTCTCGTTGATTTTGTTGGTGGTTTTTGTTGTTGTAAATTGAGTTTTGGCAGTTTTGGTTTGGGAAAAGGAATTTTGAGGCTTTTTGCGGGGGAGAATGAGGTTTTTAGGTATAAATTGAGGGTTTTGATGGATTTTAGGGTAAAATTGAAGACATAGGCTTAGAGACTTTGTTAGATTTTTTATTCGAAATTATGATTTTTTGAATTTTAGGTAGCAAATTTTATTTTTTAGTTAACATGTGGATTTTTTACTTTTTAGGTTTTAAATTTGTTTTGTTTTTGAAGTTTTTTTAGATTTTTATTGCTATCTAAAGCTGGATTTTTTTGAAATTTTGAAAGTTTTGATTTTATTGTTACCTAAATTTTATTTTTGAAAAATTTTGATTTTCCGTGGTTTTTCGTGCTAAAAACTTGATTTATATATGTTTTACGCCTAAAATTTGTTAATTTCATCATTTTCAGTTGATATTCTACTATAATATGAGGACGTTGTGGTTGTGGGCCCTAGTGCCTCTAATTCTACTGGCCCGTGCCGACGAAGAGGCACCAGCCAAGGAGAACAAGTATGGTACGATTATTGGTATCGATTTGGGAACAACGTACTCATGTGTTGGTGTGTACAAGAATGGACGTGTTGAGATTATCGCCAACGACCAAGGAAACCGTATTACTCCATCGTATGTGGCCTTCACGCCGGAATCTGGAGAGCGTCTGATTGGTGACGCCGCCAAGAATCAGTTGACTTTGAACCCTGAAAACACCATCTTCGATGCCAAACGTTTGATTGGTCGTGAGTTCAGTGAGAAGTCCGTCCAAGCCGATCTGAAATTGTGGCCCTTCAAGGTAAGTAGCTTTGCTTTTGTTTTTGATGTGTTTAGGTATGATCTTGGGCTTAAAAAGTGGAGTTTAGGCTTGAATTTGATCTAAAAAGAGTTGTTATTTGACTAAAGGATAAGCCTTTTGGTTCTGAATTGAGTTTAGGCTTATTTAAAATTAGAAGAAGCTTAGTTTAACCTTTCTTTTCATATTTAATCTAATTTCATGCCATTTCAGGTCAACAACAAGAACAACAAGCCCCATGTTGAGGTCGCGGTCGGAGCCGACAACAAGGAGTTCTCTCCAGAAGAAGTTTCAGCCATGGTTTTGGGTAAAATGAAGGAAATCGCCGAACAATACCTCGGAAAGGAAGTTAAGCACGCCGTCGTCACCGTTCCAGCCTATTTCAACGACGCCCAGCGTCAGGCCACCAAGGATGCAGGTACCATCGCCGGTTTGAACGTTGTTCGTATCATTAACGAGCCAACCGCCGCCGCCATCGCCTACGGATTGGACAAGAAGGACGGTAAGGCATTTTTTGTTTTTTAATTTTCAGGTTGGGGTAATTGAATTTTTTTAAATTTCTAAATTGGGGGTGGATCACCCCCTCTTTCCCCTTTCTCAAAAAAAATTTTTGTCTGGGCAAACGCAGTTTTTTTGTTAGTTTAGTAAGTCTTGACCTCGACACGAAACGTGTCCGCCTTCCACAGCCTGGTTCGATTTGTTTGTCGCCGCGACACGTCGCGCTGACCCAGATTCTTTTGCTTAAGTGACCTTCAACAATGGGGGCAACAGTTAATTGTGATGTAATAGTTTTTAATACGCGGAAATTGATCTAAAACTTTGAAATCAGATATTTTTTATTTCAAGGCTGATTAATATCTTAAGATTAAATGACTAAAATATCAGAAGATATATAAATAATATCAGAAGATACCTATAAAAAGTTAACAAAAATATTCTTTCAGGTGAACGCAACATCTTGGTATTCGATTTGGGAGGTGGTACCTTCGATGTCTCCCTTCTCACCATCGACAACGGTGTCTTCGAAGTGTTGGCCACCAATGGTGACACTCACTTGGGAGGTGAAGACTTTGACCAACGTGTTATGGAATACTTCATCAAGTTGTACAAGAAGAAGACCGGCAAGGACCTGAGAAAGAGCCACCGTGCCGTCCAGAAGCTCCGTCGTGAAGTCGAGAAGGCCAAGAGAACCTTGTCAGTCCAACATCAAGTCAAAGTCGAAATCGAATCTCTGATCGATGGTGAAGACTTCTCCGAAACCCTGACCCGTGCCAAGTTCGAGGAGTTGAACATGGACTTGTTCCGCGGAACCCTGAAGCCAGTCCAAAAGGTCTTGGAAGATGCCGACATCAAGAAGGAGGACGTCCACGAAATCGTCTTGGTAGGAGGTTCAACCAGAATCCCCAAGGTCCAACAACTTCTGAAGGAATTCTTCAACGGAAAGGAGCCATCTCGCGGCATCAACCCCGATGAAGCCGTCGCCTATGGAGCCGCCGTCCAAGGTGGAGTCATCTCCGGCGAAGAAGACACCGAGATCGTTCTGTTGGATGTGAACCCACTCACCATGGGTATCGAGACCGTCGGTGGTGTCATGACCAAGCTCATCACCCGTAACACCGTCATCCCCACCAAAAAATCACAGGTCTTCTCCACCGCCGCCGACAACCAACCCACCGTCACCATCAAGGTCTACGAGGGAGAGCGGCCAATGACCAAGGACAACCATCTCCTCGGCACCTTCGACTTGACCGGAATCCCACCAGCCCCACGTGGAGTACCACAAATCGAGGTCACATTCGAGATTGACGTGAGCGGTATCTTGCACGTATCGGCCGAAGACAAGGGCACCGGAAACAAGAACAAGATCACCATCACCAACGACCATAACCGTCTGTCGCCCGAAGACATTGAGCGTATGATCAACGACGCCGAGAAGTTCGCCGACGAAGACAAGAAGGTCAAGGAGGTGGTTGAGGCCAAGAACGAGCTCGAACAATACTCGTACCAACTCAAGAACCAGTTGAACGACAAAGAAAAGGGTCTCGGTTCCAAGTTGGACGACGACGAGAAGAAGACCATCGAAGAAGCCGTCGATGAAGCCCTGAGCTGGCTGGAATCCAACAAGGACTCATCGGCCGAAGAGATCAAGGAACGCAAGAAGGAGTTGGAAGCCAAGGTCAACCCCATCATCAGCAAACTGTACGAAGGCCAAGCTCCACCACCAACTGGAGACGAGGAATCGACCGGTTCCGACGACAAGGACGAGTTGTAAATGTTGGCAGCGAATGTTGATGTTGTCTATGGTGTAGATGTACTGAATCTTGTTTTGCAACATGATCCTGTTCATTCTACAACCTGCCCAACATTACAATCCCACCCACCACTTTCTGTAGATGATCTGTTCTATTTGCGGGCTGTTTTCTATATTGTTTTACTTTTTATAAATAATAATGTTATTAGTTGGAACAAATAGAAGATTGTTCTCCTTAATTTATTCGCTCTTTCGTCTTTTTCTTATCTCGTATTGTAAATTCCGACCAAAGATTTGGCCATGTTGTTTTGTTTGAAAACAAAAATATAAATAAACTAAAAAATTTAAAGGCTTGGCTTGTATTTGAATATTTTTAATTAGAACTAGGGATGCAACAAGACATTTGGGTTCAGAATCGAACAGCAGATACTAAGATATGTTATCGTAAGGTTTTCGGATTTATCTGTTAATGTTTTATTGAAAATCCATAGAATTAAAGGATTTAAATGAAAATAAACGATATTTTTCGGAAAAATTGATATTTTCTGACATAACGTATGCTTATATACCTTCAAAACAATAATAAAAACATGAAGAAGGAAGTTGTCAAGCTAATAACGTCGATAAACATCCACTTTCCTTGTTTTAATATCACAAAACGAAGTGTCAATACGCGGAGAAGTGACATTTCGTCGCAATCAAAAATAATATTTATAAATTTCTCGGAAAATATTTCGATTTTAAGGCTTTACATTGTTATTCTTGTTACTTGTTGTCTGTTACATAGTAAAATGTTGGTATTTTGTCCAGTATGTGGGTCGTGTTTGACCGTTGGCACAGGAACAGTCAGCCAGTTCGAATGCGGTTCATGTGAATATAAAATTCCGGTGGCGAATCATGTAAGTTAATATTTCCTTGTTTATTATGTGTTTAGGTGTCCAGTAGGTTATATCCGAAGATGAAAGATTTGGATGAAGTTTTGGGAGGACCTGGAGCTTGGGAAAACGCTGAAGTTACGGAAGGTAAGGTTTTGGAGATGTTATATTGCTTATGATGGGATTGTGGATCGATTTTTGGGAAAATTTTTGAGGGAACTAGGTTTAGATGCAAGATTATTATATCTACTAGCTTTTCCAAAGTATTCTGGACGTTTTGGTATAGACATTAATAGTTTTCTGTATAAAAATATTAAGTTATGTTTTATGAAGATGTTAGATTGATTATGATGTTGTTTTCTCAATTTTTTGGCTTTATTTCTAAGCTTAGTAAGATAAGAAAGAGCGCCAGGTTTTTCTTTGGTTTTACACCAATTTATAGAAGTATGGATCAGTTTTTAATTAAAAACATCTATTTATATTAACCATAAGAACTTTCGGCTAAAAGCTATGTTTTTTGTCTTTAAATTAACTTTATACTTTTTTTATGAACTAAAAATGAACTTTGTAGCAACATTTTGTATTTTAAACTTAACTTTATACCATTTCCAGAACAATGTCCACGATGTGCTCACCTAAAAGCCTACTTTATGCAGATCCAGACCCGAAGTGCAGACGAACCTTCTACAGTATTTTATCGATGTGCCAATAATGAATGTGCACATAGGTGGAAAGAATAAATATTTTATTATAAAAAGCTTGGGATTCTCTATCTGAATATGTTTAGTACAGTAGCGTATATCTTTGGCATTTGATATGTTAATGATGTGATATAACCTTTATTGCTAATATGGTGAATATATCTTTATTTCTTACTTTTATGTTGGTACTTGATTATAATGCTTTGACAAGATAAAAATATTGTTGTAGATTATAATACTAATAATAACTCTTTATAATCTTCAATTTCAGATGATTCGTCGACCATTGACAACAGTTTCGCTTCAAACGCCTGATATCGATGCATTGGAACAGAGTTTGGAGCGAAGATACCAGGTAAGCTTTGAAATTTGTGTTGTTATATGTTTTAGTAAAGTAAAAGCTTATTTTTGTCAAATGGAATGGTTAAAACGGCATTTTTTAATGATAAAGGAAGTCTTGGTGCTAACTTGGATCAACAGGGGGACCAAGCTCAATAGTTTGATTTTTTAAAATTGAAATTCAGGACGCCATGCCTGCGTATTACCTTATGTTATAGTTATATATCTTACTAACCACTACTCTTTAGAACAATAAGCACGACATGAAAACCAGTTCACCGTTATCAGTAACCGTCCGAACCGCCGATACTCCATTTCGGTGTGCTCGTCGGCCAGAAGCGTTCGCTCCGAATCGTGAAAGACATCAACAGAATGACGGACAAACTCCATCAACCGCCTCTCAAGCTCAAGCTTCACCACGACAGTCCGGATCTAATGCTTAATGATCAAGGGCGTCGCTACAATTGATCAATGGTATGGTTATACCAAGGTGGAATCGGGGTAATGATTAAATATTTACGACATAGAGGTCAATAACTATGTACAATAAACAGTATTCGAGTGCAATTTTCTGATTTATGGGGTAAGGTATGGTGGTAGTTTGGTGAATTATATGATAGGGTATGGCGGTATGGTGAATTATCTGATAAGGCATGGCATTTACTTGAAGCAGGGAGGTGGGTAAGGTAGAGGAGGGGCGGGGTAAATGTGGGTGGATTTACCCCGCCCACAAAAAAAAATAAAAAAATAGCCTGCTATCTTTTTTTTCGCATTTCTCCTCAAAAAGTATTAAAAAAATTCTTTTTTATCCCCCCCCCCTTCGTTTTTACCCTGCCCTTTACTTTTCTTTAGAAAAAAAGTTTCAAAAAGTCCCTGCCTTAATGAATTTTATTTTATGATGCGTTTTTTTAAGTTTAAGATGACTTTCACAAATTTTCTCGCAAAATGTTTAATTTTTAGGTAACACCTTTATTCACTCGTATGTATAATAGCCATTTATGCCTTTTGTATATCAATTTTCACTGGATAATCACAGTAATGTAGCAATTTTTTAACCTCATGAATTGCTTTTGTTGGTTTTGTTTTATTCATCAGTCGCAATCGAATCCGAGGGCATGGGTTCACAAGCATCTTTTATTTTGGCACAGCATTCGGGCGTCTTAACCGAATCTCGGAAAAACTTCCAGATGTTCCGGTTTTCAATACACATGGTACCGCCGCCTCGCTTTGATTGGGATGCCTAAAATTTAAGGGTTTTGGAGGCGTAGGGGAAGCAGGCCTGTTTTGTATCATTTATTTTTTTTGTCTTTGGGCAAGACAGGGTAAGGGGGGGGGTGATAGGGAAAGGCAGGGTAAGATCGGGGTTGGTAAGGAAAGGCATGGCAAGGGTGGGTAAGGAAAGGCTAAATAAGAGTAGATGGTCGGGCAACTCAAGGTAACAGTGTGTGGTAAGGCAAGACAGGGTAGGGATGGGCGGCAGGTCAAGGTAGATAAGGGTGGTAGTAAGGAAAGGCAGGGTAACTGTAGATGTTGGAGCAAGGCAGAGTAAGAGGGGGTGGTAGAGCAAGGCTGGGTAAAAGTGGGTGGTAAAGCAAGGCAGTATAAGGGTGGGTGGTAGGGGAAGGCAGGTTAAGGGTGGGTGGTAGGGTAAGGCAGGGTAAGGATGGGTGATAGGGGTAAAGCATTGGTTAAGGGAATACGAAAAATTTTTGTTTTGATTTACTTTACCCTACTCTACTGTACTGTGTCCTACCGTGCCCTGCCATGTTTTGACATATCCTACCCTACTGTACCCTACCCTACCATGTTTTGCTTTACCCTACCATACTTAACCTCATCCTATTCTGCCATACCTTACTTGACCTTATCTTACCCTACCCTACAATTCTTTTATCTTCAGTTACCCTACCCTAGGTTTCTCTGCCTTACCGTAAGCCCATCATGTCCTTACCGGGAACTTTCTCGACTCTACAATACCTCCTATCTATCTTTTCCGTGCTCACCTGTCGATTAATGTCCCCAACACAAACAGTCGCAGGTTGATCACTGACAGCCCATTTACTGTGATCCAACGCACTTGACCATTCCACTCCTCCGGGTGCAATACGACGGTTGTTTGTGACATAGTCATCGGTTTTACATGTTGGGGCGTAATCACGGGGACCGTTTAGCCAAGTTTCAACGTAAAAAGCTTTGTTCGTGTTTGGTACTAATTGGTTTGAGTATAGGTCTGGAAGTTTTTTGCTTATAATATTTTGACCTTGGTAAAAAATTTTTTGGGGGTGGAGAACGGAGGGTATTGTCAAAATTTTTTTTTTAAAGAAATAGTTTTAATTTAATCAGCCCTGGTTAATTAAAAAAATTTTTTTACCCTCCCCCCCCCCTCCCCCGAAAAAAATAAAATTTACCCCGCCCACTTTTTTCACTCAAAGACCCTAAAATACTGTATCAAACCGTACCTTTCCCAAAATTTCTGTGTTTTTCGTAGCTAGTCAGCCATTGCCCTCCTTTGGTCTTCAACGCTGTAGTCCGGTTGAAACTGCAAGATTTGGTCGATAATGATTTGCCCAGCTTCACGGCACGTTGCAACTTTTCGTATTGAGCAAATGCGTCTGGGAATCCGAATTTCGTGATGGACAGCTGAGCAACGTGGATTTGGCGACCTGAACAGGTGCAACAATATTACTGATATTGTGCTTGTTATACATGAGTTGTGGCTGTTTTAAACAAATTCATGGTTTAAAAGTGCATTTTGAAGGGGGGGGGGTGTAAAATATTTTGAAACGTGTGAGGGTAAAAGATTTTGAAAAGGATGGGAATGTAGGTTAGAGTAGAGTAAAGTAGAGTACTGTACGGTACAGGGGGTAAGTGGGCAGGGTAGGGTAGGGTAGAGTAGGGTAAGTTAGAGTACTGTAGGGTACAGTGGGGTAAGGTAGAGTACCGTATGGTATAGTGTGGTAGGGTAAAGCAAGATACGTACCAATCTCATGAAGCTGTTCACTTTCAAAAGTCATACAAAAGAAGGACTGTCCAAACTTAGTAGCAGTTTCCGGGAAGTAATATGGCTTGTCAGGATCAGCAAACCTAGGTGCTGAATGGATCAGCCAAAAACCTTGGTTCGAATCGAAAGCTTGTACTCCTTTAGCATGAGCACGATGACCATCCGAGTCGGTACGACCGGGCTGTTGGTCGTTGTAAAACATCCAGTACTTGTCCTGTAAATGGGTTTTTCTAAAGAATATCAAAATTTTACAGTACGGTTATTTTGGGGAAGGGGAGAGGGAAGGAAGGGTGATTTTGATGAGTAGGTGGGGGGGGGAGGTAGCCGTATTTTTTTAACTTTTGTTTTTTTTGCATAATAGAACTTGAATTTTGAAAAAAAAAATGTTTTTTTGATTCTCCCCCAATAAAAATTTTCTTACCCCGCCCAAAATTTTTTTCATTAAAATTTAAAAAGCAATTCTTTTGTAAAGTTTTTTATTTTTTTACATCACCCTCTTCCTTATCTAAATTTTTTTTTCAGTTTTACCAAAAATCACCCCGCCCAAAACTCTAATTAAAAACCGGACCGTTTCACAAACTTTACTTTGGATTTCGTAGCATCAATGGCTTGTGACACAGTCATTCCCATAGCACTTTTCGGATCATTGATATCCTTATCAGAGATTTTGAACTCTTGATTGTTAACATCAGCATAAAAGAAGGCGGTGCCTTTAGGTAAGAATGGGCTAGCCGTGCCAGTTTTGATGGTAGGCATTTTTAGAGCTATGAACCAGTCCACATCATTACCATTCATATCTTTGCATGATAAGGCTGCGGTTACTGTATTTACATACAGTATAATAAAACATACGATTGAGTATACGGTAATGGATGACATTTTTGATTTTAGTACGGTATTGGTTAGCTACGGTAAGGTTCGTCAAGTTTTTGGTTACAGTAGGTATTGGAATACAGTATTGAGCTTATGTTGAAGTTTTGAATACAGTATGCAATAGGTGTCGTATATAGTATATAGTAGTATACAGTAGCTACAGTAGTAAAGTATACAGTAATAGTCAAAAAAGTTCAAATAGTATACGGTAAGAACTGTGATAGCCGTTACAGTACACCCAGTTTAACTACAGTATAAAAATTCAATTACAGTATACCTAGCTCGAGTAGTACCTAATGAAGCACCTAGAGTCCCAGTAGTACCAAATGTAAAAGAATGTACCAATAGTACCGTAGTCAAGCTTTAGCTCGCCAGTAGTACCAAGTCAAAGCCAAAAGTACCAATAGTTACCAAGTCAACCCCAAAAGTACTATTACAGTACAGTAGTCAACGCAAAGAGAACAGTACCAGCTTCCAAATCCAAAGCCGACTGTACACCCCTTCACCGTCACTGGTAGGAATCACGACCGAATTCCAAATTGCCATTTCTTTTTGACGTTTCAGCTATATAAACTGACATGACAAATGTACAAACAGTTGTGATTACGTATTTATTATTTATACTATTTATGGTTGAGAACTTGCAAAAGGTTGTTGGCAAACATGGATAACTAACAGGGCTGGCCGGCTTTCGTGGGTACTGTAATAAAAGTTAGGTAAGGTTGTTAGGCAAAAAAAAATTAGAATGATAACAAAATATAAAGATCAAATAAGGTAAAATTTAAATTAGGATACGGCGGAGGGGAGCAGGGAGAGGGGGGGGGGGAGAAGTAAGGTAAGGATAATGAAGCTAAAAGCCTGAACTGGTTATTGTAGAGTACGTTAAAGCATTGCACAGTGAGATACGCTGGAGTAAGTTACAAAGGCAGACTAAAGGTTATAGAAATAGATTCAAAAATAGATAGGGGTAGAGTAAAGTAGGGCAGGGTAGGGTAAGATACGGTAGGGTAGGGGTAGGGTAGAATAGGGTAACATAAGGTAGGGCAAGTTAGGGTAAGGTAGGGGTGGGGGTAGGGTAAGTTAGGGCAAAAGTAAGAGTGAAGGTAAGAGTGAGAGTAGGGTGAGGGTAGGGGAAGATAGGGTAAAGCAGGTTAGGGTAGTGTAAGGACAGGTAGTGTGGAGTAGGGGAAGTTATGGTAGGGTAAAGTAGAGGTATGAGTAGACTGTGATTAGTATTGCATACATAAGTAAGATCAATATACATTCGAGTGGTGTTAGGATAAGCCATTGCCGGAATGATATATTATATAGGTTGTTCAAATAATTCTGAGCCTTTCAATTCAAATTTTTCGCGGTTAGGCACAGAATTACTTGAACAACCCAATAATTTTAAAAAAAATCGAAATCCTCATTTCTAATGCACAAGACTGGATTACCTAAATTTAAAAAATATGTCAAAAATGACAAGGTTAATAAAAATTAATAACAACTAATAAAAGCCGTTAGTAATGCAGTGATCACAGCAGTAATCGGTGTTGTAGTAGATGATTTACCTGTAAATCTGGAAACTTTGAAAGAATTGTTAGGACAACACTCCACGTGGTCCACAATTTCTCGGAACAAACGCCAAATCGACCGGTCGCAAAGGCAGAGGGTACCGCCACCGCGGTTGTTTTGGGACTTCTACAAATTCTTTAAGTAAAATACAGTATGCTACAGTAATTTTTTTATTTAAAAATGTCTCCCTCTACCTTACCGTACCCTATCGTACCCTACCCTACCATACCCTACTCTACCCTGCCTTACCCTACCATACTCTACCCTAACATACCCTACTTACCCTACCGTACCCTACCCCTACCCAAAAAACCGACCTGTCGATTAATATCGCCAATACAAGCCCAAGCGTCGCTTTCCGTCGTACTGACAGCCCATTTCGAATGGTCCTTACTACTGGTAAAGTCGTGTTGTAGCACTTGAACTGATCTCAAGTTGTAAACCTTGTACCTTGAAGTACACTCTGATAACATATCACCAGGGCCGTTGAGCCAAGTTTCTACGAAGAACGATGCTTTCAGATTCGTGGCTACCAACTCAGAATAGAGATCTGAAAAAATTATGTGGTAATCCTAAAAATGCTAAGCCTAAACATTGTTTGTTAAGCCTAAAAACAGTGTGCTAAGCCTAAAAATATTATGCTAAACCAAAAACTCTCTGCTAAACCTAAAAATTGAATGCTAGGCTAAAAAATGTGTGTTAAGCCTAAAAATTGTATACTAAGCCTAAAACTCATTGCTAAGCCGAAAAATTATGTGCTAAGTCTAAAAATTGTGTTTTAAGCCTACAAGATGTGTATTAAGCCTAAAAATAGCGTGCTAAGCCTAAAAATTTTGTGTTAAGCTTAAAATCGCATAATAAGCCTAAAAATAGTGTGCTAAGCCTAAAAATGATTTTTAAGCGTAAAGCTTATGTTTAAGCCAACAAATTGCGTACTAAGCCTAAAAATTAAGTGTTAAGCCTAAAGTTGCGTGCTAGACTTAAAAATAGTAGCTAAACCTAGAAATTGTATTATAAGTTAAAATTATGTACTAGGCCTAAACTTAAAAAGCTTAGCCTACGAAATGTGCGTTAAGCCTAAAACATTGTATGCAAAGCCTAAAAAATAAAAAAAGAATTTTTTGAGCTCTGTTTCTACCTCTACCCGTCCGTGTAAAACCCCTACCTTTAGCAAACTTTTTATGTTTGGCAAAGCTGACAAACTGTTGTCCACCAAGCGTAGTGATATTGGCCACATTAAAGTAGGTCTTTCCCTTCAGCGACTGCTTCTTCACCGCTTTTGCCAAATCTGGATACAGCTTTTCGTACGATGACGGTAGCTGAGAATCATAAACAGAAGCCTGAATGTATAGTAGCTGACTTCCAATGACGTCCAAATCGGCTGAAGATACTGTAACACAGACAAAGGTTTGGCCGAAGCGAAGACCGGTCTCTGGATAGACGTATCGACCGGTCTTGGTCGATGGAAATAGTGGGACTGAGTGGATCAGCCAGTAGCCGGAAATGTCATCAGATACGACGATACCTTTGGCGTGTCCACGGTAAGAGTCGGTCTTGTTCGTGTCTGGATGCTCATCGTTGTAGGCTACGAAGAAGTCCTTCTGAAATTTAAATTTAGCGAGTTTGAGAATTGTAAAGAAAGTTTTTGTAAAGAAAGTTCTTGCTATTTCTCGTTTTGTAAAGAAAGTTCTTGCTATTTCTCGTCTTGTAAAGAAAGTTCTTGCTATTTCTCGTTTTGTAAAAAAAGTTCTTACTATTTCTCGTTTTGTAAAGAAAGTTCTTGCTATTTCTCGTTTCGTAAAGAAAGTTCTTACAACTTCTTGTTTTGTAAAGAAAGTTCTTGCCACTTTAAATACCATACTTTATTCTTCTTGGCCTGAAACATCTGATTCACAGTCTTGGCAATAGCTCCACCATCTCCAATCCTATCACTTGACAACTGCCATTGCGCACTACTACTATCAGCATAGTAGAACACCTCACCATCATCCAAATCCTTGTTCGTGTCATCTATCTTCGGCATTTTGTAGGCTACAAACCAGTCCACATTCTTTCCTTTGTTGTTTTTACACGAATATGATGTTACACATGGTATTAGTGATAAGGCAAGGAGAAGATGAACCCGCATCGTCCTGAAAGTGAAAATTTAAAAAGGTTTTCGACGTTAGAGCTAAACTATGAAACTTTATAACACATTACATCAAAATGGCATTCAAATTAGGCCTAAAGAATAGTTGCAACAGTTAAAATATTCACCACGACATCTCATGTTGTAGTAGACCCAAAACCTGAACAAAGACAACATAATTGCCTTGTTTTAAACAAAAAAATTATAAATAATGTCCCAATCTAAATTTCACGTTCAAAAATGATCAAATAATCAATGTTAAAATGACAAAAACATTAAAAATAAAATTAAAACATCTGATATTACAATAGGTCCAAAAACGAATCAAAAAATACAATTGCCATTCTTTTTTTGACCACTTTTGAATACAAAATGTTAAAGGGCACTTTATTCTTTAGTATACGTCATGTTAAACAAAGCTAACGACCTAAAGGTTCTTGAAATTTCAAAATTAAAAAAAAACACGCAAAAAATACCTATTTTCCAAGAACTTTTAGAGATTTTACAAAAATTACACAAGCTTTATCAAAATTTTTGTCATTTTTAGATACAGTAGATAATAATCAACCATTATTCATCAAATCAAGCCATTACTGCAAGTAGTTAATTTAAAAATCGCATTTTTTCGAAAAAAAAACCTAGTGTAATATACCAATACCTACAAAAAAACCTTCAAAAACCCATGAATCCCCATTTAAACACAAAATAATTTAAAAAAACCATATTTAGAGCCAAACCCAAGATTAGAACACCAATCTTGATATATAATACGCTGGACGAAATATTTATTGTCAAATATAAATAGAGATTAATAAGGTTGATAAGCGACTTTAATAGGCCATTCCGCTAGCGATCGATCCGTCTTCGTCAGATGACAATCTTTCTTCGTTATAGCAATCGTCGTAGTCCCGCTCGTCCCCGTAATGGTCTAAAATTTCAGGGCGTGGTAAAAATTTTTTTTGGGAGGGGGGGGGAGAGTAGATAATTTAACAGAGAAAACGTTTTAGCTTTAGAAAAAATGTATAAGATAAGATAAGAAAAAGTATTTTTAAAGGCATGGCAAAAAAAATTTGGGCGTGGTAAAAGTTTTTTCCCTGTTTTGTTACCTAAACCTTGTAAAACCTAAAACCTACGCCTAAAAACCGTTGTAAAAAGCCTAAATATAATTCCCCTTTCGAAAAGTAGTAAATAAGGCAAGGAAAAACCGTCTGTAAATAAAGCCAAAGGCTTCGTTCGTCGAAAAACAACAAAAATTCAGTGTAAAAAGCGCCATTTTTGCGAGCCTGGAGGGGTTTTTCGTCAAAAACGATAGGTTTTCTTGGAAAAAAGAAGTGTAACAATGATTTTTGATTAAAAATCAAGCTGTCACAATATTCTTTGTGTTTTAAAAACGTTAATCTTCATGTTTAAATACTAGAATAAGCCTATAACGTAAGTTTTTGATCCTAAAAATGCCTTTGAAAATTGTTTTTCTTCACATTAACATCAGTTTTAGCCTAAAATTTATCAAAAAATGCTGTTTTTAAATCAATTTAAACCTAAAAATACATATTTTGATCAATTCAAACAAGAAAAAAATTTTTCAAAGCCATATTTAGCAGTTTCTCATCATTCAACACCTTGTTACACCCTAAAAATATCAGAAACACATCGAAATCTTACCATAACTGTCCTCAGATGAAGTATCATCGTTCTCCAATGATCGATCGAGCTCGTCTTCATCCGGATAATCATTGGCAAAATGATTTTCGGCATTTGAATCGTCATCCGCATCTTCACTTTCTCCATCATCTTCGTGACCAAAGTAGAGTTGAAGTTCTTCGTCAGTTGGCAGTCTGACATTAACCATACTCACTTCACCTCGAGGAACGTAGTCTTCTGTATGATAAAAGTCGTATACATAATCATCGTCGAAGCCGGATTCTGGACGGGCTAGAGGGGCCTAGAATTTTAAATTTAAAAAATTTATCTAAATTTAAACTATTTCCAAATTTTAAATTTTTCAATTTTAAGCAACAAAACCAAAAAACTCAACTTACATCATCAGGAACAGCAAGAAATGGATCGTCTGGCTTCAAGTTTAATTTGTTGACCTTCCTCACACTTTCATCCAACATCTGATTCACATCGTCAACTTCAACAGGTACAACTGGTGCTGATTGAACTGGGACATCCGTTGTTGCATCAAAGTCAATGCATTCTAACTTCTAAAAACTTTTTAATTATATTGTTCCAAAGTTTTATCAAGTAAAACAAGAGTTTTTGAGTGTAGTATAAAAAAAATTCGGAGAAAAGCTAGTACAATATTGCTTTTTGTTGCTACCCAAAAAATAGTTGTCAAAACAACTCCAAATTTTGTCAAAACATTCATTATCACATTGTCAAGCTTCTAATATAACCATTTTCCCCAGTAATAACACAAATTTTTCTTCAACATCACAATTCGTCAAGTATAATATCGGTACCCCTAAAAATCAAAATAAATATTTACCTTTGGAGTATTTGAATTCAAGAAAATTCTAGCAGCATCTCGTACATCTGGCAATGGTAAAGTTCCAATTAATTTGAAGGCAGTTGCTTGATCCAAATCAAAATCAGATTTAGCTCGTTTCGAAGGTCCAGCTGAATCGTCAAATGAATCTGATACCAAAAGACCACTATGAGGATTAGCACTTCGTTTTCGACGTACACGAATGATACGGGACGCTGGAGATTCAACTGAATTGATTAATGGAGCAGGAATATTCATTAACGGATCGATTGGATTAATTACTGGATCAGACGGATTCGCAACCTGTTGATCCATTAAATTTATCGCAGAAGGCCCAACTTGATTCGCATCATCATTCAAAGAAGCATTATCAACAGAATTGAGTATAGGGGCAGCGCCAGCGGATTCCATTATGTTATTATAGGCAAAAATTATTAAAAAAGATCAAGTGTAATATATCGTTGAGTATGTTGAAATTAAAATCCTCGTTCGTTCTTGATGTTGCTCAAAGAAGTCTGAAAATATAATTAAATAATAAAAATAGCTTTAATTTTCTTATATTTTGAAGGAAACATATTCTTATTAACATACCAAAAAGCCCTCTTCCAGAAAATGAAGCTCGGCCAAAAGATCTTCGATTGCCTGTTTCAACGCGGCCTGAGGCGTCGTATCGGCAGTGGTTTGGACTCTCAAAATGAACTTGTGTTCCAATGGATGAGGATTTCTGTAGCCGGCAAACAACACCTGCGGATCCTTCAAGAGCTGACTAAAAACAAAACTAAACCAACATAAACCAACTTACTGCTTCAGCAAATTGCCCAAAGTGTGGTCCTCCTTGTTGAAGGTGAAGATGGCGGCGTTGGGGACCTTGGTATCCTTCTCAACAACAAGCTTTTTCTCTCCGTCAAAAAGAAAAAACGATTCGAAAGCAGCTGGTGCGTTCATTTAATGTTCACTATGGATCAAATGTAATATGGATCATCCAAAGCTGGGATCGCTCGTTCAGGCTTCAAATCGCTTGTTTCAGGCTTCCTCAATCACCTTTTTGGATGGTAAACACGAGACTTGCGAAAAAGTTTGACGAAATGAGCGGTAAAATAATTACGCAATGCCACACATTTGTTTTCGTGGTGGGACCAACAGAGAAGGCAAATGTGAATTGAAAATTTACCATAACTTTATATTACCTGTAAAATACGTCTGGGAAAAGCACGTGTTTAAAAATTTAAAGTAATTACAACATACTATGTGGTCAATTTTAAATTTTTAAGACCCTTAACGTTTTTTCAATTTTTCGGTTGATAATTCAAAAAGCTAAATTATTTTGATCAATTCCTTTGTCGATTGGTAGTCGGTCGTTCTTCTGAAACCACCGTTGTTTCAAACTTTGGGCTGTAAGTTTATTTTTTGCTATATTTGAGTGGTTAATCATGAAAAATGGCTCAGCTCGAGTTTTAGCATGCCAAAGGCACAATTTTGGTTGGGCTTGGTCGAAAGACTAGGCCTTTGGGTATCTTTTTATACCCCATTACCAGTATTTTTATTTTAAGCAACACTTTACTTAAAAAACGTCATTTTAAAGCGTAAAAAAAGTCTTGTCTTTTTTTGCCGTGAAATTAAACGTAAAACGACGACAAGACTTTTGTAACCTTCTAATAATGAACTTAAACTTCAAAAATTTTAAATCCCACTTTCAGACAATGGAGATGTACATTCTAATGGCATATGCCTCCATCACGATTGGCACTTTGGTCACAATGGCATTCGACTGTTCGAAGAAAGCCAAGAAGTCGGTGGAAGATCCGCCCCCGGGGGCTGGTGGAGATCCAGCGGCCGCTGCCAAGAAAGGGAGTGCTTATGTGAGTAAGCCATGCAATGAGAAGACCGGCCTCGACCCGACTGATCCCAACATGAACAGTGCTGCGTTAAAGTGAGTTTTTAAGATTTCTTGGTTACTGTAGGATGAGTTTGATTTTTAAAGTTTTATTAGTTTTGCAAAGAAATTTCTTGCCTTTTTTTGATTTGCAAAGAAAGTTCTTGCTATTTTTTGTTTTGTAAAGAAAGTTCTTGCCATTTCTTAGTTTGTAAAGAAAGTTCCTGCCATTTTTTAATAAATCCATTTTCAGAGCCATCTGACCGTCCAACTTGGAGCCAAAATCTTCATGAACTTCGTCGTAGAACACATATTATCTATAAAATAAACTTTTACTTTATGCTTTTGGATTTTTTTTATTTTGTAAAGAAAGTTCTTGTCATTTTTCATTTTGTAAAGAAAGTTCTTGCCATTTTTCATTTTGTAAAAGAAGTTCTTGTCATTTTTCATTTTGTAAAGAAAGTTCTTGTCATTTTTCATTTTGTAAAGAAAGTTCTTGCCATTTTTTGCTTTGTAAAGAAAGTTCTTGCTATTTTTTGCTTTGTAAAGAAAGTTCTTGCTATTTTTGGACCTATGTCGTCGGCCAACTTGACTTTTCGCTGTTCACTCAAAATACGACCGGTTGAGAAAAGAAAGTATGTTATTTTATGCAAATTTTCAGTTCAAGAGTTTAATTTTTAAAAATTGAAAATGATTTGAAATGGCTTTTATTTGGCAGTTTTTCTGGAAATTTTTATTGTTTATAGGCTTAGGTTTTAATTGTTTTTATGTTAGTAGGCTTATGGTTTTTTGTTTTTTTTAATGTTATTAGGCTTAGGTTTTTATGGTTTTATTTGTTTGTAGGCTTAATTTTTTTTTGATTTTATTTATTTTTAGGTTTAAATTTTTAATATTTTTGTTATTAGGCTTAAATTTTTATTGTTTTTTTTGTTTTAGGCTTAGGTTTTTGAAATTTTGTGTTACTAGGCTTAAGCTTTATTAATTTTTGTATTGTTAGGCTTAGTTTTTTTCATTTTTTGTGTTAGGCTTAGCAGTTTTCATTTTTTTGTTGTTAGGCTTAAATATTTTTATAATGTTTATAAAAGTCATTAGGCTTATATATAGTAATAGTTTTTTTAGGCTTAAACTTTATTTTTAAGCTTATTTGATGCTTAGATAATTTTAAATTATTTTTAGGCTTAGCTTAAACTTGACTGTAGAAAATGTTAATCTTTAGGCTTAACTTTAGCCTAAGGGTTCAAATTTATTACCTAATTTTAAGCATTTCCAGACCAAATTTTTGGACCATGTACATGTTGATCAGCTACAGTTTTGTGACGATTCTGACCGTGAGCTACTGGGCCGTGGGATGCGGCGGAAAGAAGGCACCACCTCCAGACGCCGCAACTCCACCAGCCGGTGGTGCACCACCTGCCGGCGCACCTGCTGGCGATGCTCCGCCAGCTTAACATCTACAATAAGGAGTCGCTTTGTAGTTTTGTCTGCTTGTAGAAATAAACTGTTATTTTAGTATATTATGTCATATTTTATGTTTGGAAGCTCAGATTATGGTAGGGTAAGGTACTGTAAGGTCAAGTAGAGTACAAAAGTGTCTTTTAGGGTAGGGAAGACAATATAAGGGTAAGAGACAGTATTCAATATTACTTAAAGTAGCGTACATCACTGTATATACTGTAGAAGATGCGGTAGGGTAGGATAATGTAGTAGGGATAGGTAGGGTGAAAGAAAGTAGGATAAGGTAGAGGTATTTGGAAGACCAGGGTAAGGCAACGTATGTATGAGTAACGTAGGGTAGGGTAGAGTAGGATAGGGTAGGGTAGGATAGGATAGGGTAGGGTAGGGTAGGGTAGGGTAGGGTAGGGTAGGGTAGGGTAGGGTAGGGTAGGGTAGGGAAGGGTAGCGTAGGGTAAGGTAGGGTAAAGTAGGGTAAAGTAAGGTAGGATTTTGACTCTTTCAACAGTTTTTTGAAACTTTGTTAAAAACTTTTAAAACAAATTTTTTTAAAAATTTAAACTTCAAAAAAATTTTCATTTTTCTTTATTCTTTTGCTCAAACCAGCTCGGATCCGGTGGACGAGTTATGTCGGAGACCAACACTTTCGACTCCCATCTCAGCGATGCCAACAAACAATCGCCTCAGAAGGAAATTCAGGCCGAATCCGTAAATGAATTTATTCAAAAAATGACCGGAGGCAATCGTGCTCAGATTGTCATGGAGCACGATAAGATCAGGAAGATGGAACGGCACGTCTTAAGTTTCACACAAAATACGGACGTGAGTTTTTTATAAAGGGGAGGTTGGAATACGTTTAGGCTTAGGAGGGAATTTTTAGGCTTGTTACTCTGTTTTTAAGCTTAGAACTTAATTTTTGGGCTTAGCAATAATTTTTAAGCTTAGTCTTAAATTTTTAGGCTTACTACTTAAAATTTAGGTATAACGTAAACTTTTAGGCTTATCACTTAGTTTTTAGGCTTATCAGTTTATTTTTAGATTTAAAAGTCAGCTTTAGGCTTAAAACTCAATTTTAGACTCATCACTTAGTTTTTAGGCTTAAAACTTAATTTTAAGGCTTGAAATTTAATTTTTAGGCTTCGCATTCAATGTTTAGGCTTAAAGTTCAATTTTTAAGTGTAGTACTTAACTATTAGGCTTATCAACAATTTTTAAGCTAATCACTCAATGTTTAAGCTTAGCTTTTAATTGTTAAGCTTACTACTCAATTTGTAGGCTTAGCATTTAATGTTTAGGCTTAGCGCTAAATTTTTGGGCTTATTTCTTATTTTTTATTCTTAGCTTTTAATTTTTTAAGCTTAGCATTTAATCTTAGGCTTAGCATTCAATTTTTAGGTTTAAAGCTCAATTTTTAGGCTTAGAATTCAATTTTTAGGCTTAAAACGCAATTTTTAGGCTTAACATCCAATTTTAGGCTTGACTAACGTAATTATTTTAGAAAAACCGTTTCCTCAACGTCCTACTGTACAGTGAAGGCTCAGTAAAGTTGACAAAGCCGCCAAACTCAAATGACACAGAATACATTCACGCTTCCTTGGTCAAGTCCCGTTATGGTCAATATATCCTCGGTCAGGCACCAAAATCCAACACCCTGAACGAGTGGTACCGTATGATTTGGCAGTACAATGTTCAAGTCGTGGTTTGTCTACTACCAGCCATTAACAATGAGGAGTGTTGCAAGTACTTCGAGCAGAAGGCTGGCAGGAAAGTCAATGTACGGTAGGGAGTGGGGTACTGTAATAGTAGTGTATTCTAGGGGGTGCGGTACTGTAATAGTAGTGTATGGTAGGGGGTGGGTTACTGTAGTAATAGTGTATGCTACGGGGTGGAGTACTGTAATAGCAGTGTATGGTGGAGGTGGAATACGATAGCACGTGAATGAGAGGAGGGTGCGGTATGATAGCGTACAGTAGGTGTATAGCATCTTTGGGGTCTGGTACGGTACGCGGGTATCATAAGGATAAGATGCGGTAGCTATGTTGTACGATTAGGCTCGATAAGAGTACTATAGCCAGGTATAGTATGGATACAGTACAAATGGTGTAATATAAAAAAGAGAGATTGTGTATGGGTAGCACTGTAAGGATAGGATAAGCTACCGCAAGGGTGAGGTGAGGTACTGTAATATTATAGCTGTGTAGAAATGAGGTACTAATATATATCAGAACACAGTACAGTAGACTATTTCTAAGGGAAGGTAGGTAAAACAGGGATAGGTTACTGTACTCTATCTTTAACGTAAGATTGAGTACTGTAGATGATAGGGTAGAGATGGAGTAGGGGTGGTGCAGGAATTTGCGGGTAGGTGAGATACTGTATTTTTAAATTTCAGAAGGGTCGATTCACGTTGAAAACGTTCGCCATTCGTCAGGAGCTTCAGTGTGTGATCTACGAGATTCGAATGAAGAACTCAGGTGCCAAGAAAGGAGAAGATAAGGAGCACATCTTTCATATTGTTCATTTCCCTAAATGGAAAGTAAGTTTTTACATTTACAGTAAACACATTGAAATATTAGGCCAAGTTTGGCTAAAGTCAAGATTAAACTAGGATAGGCTTGGCTTGGATTGGCTTTGTTTGGCTAGACTAGGCTAGGCTGGACTGGGCTTGGTTTGGCTTGACTTGGCTAGTCTTTATTTGATTTGGCTTGGCTTGGCTTGGCTTGGCTTGGCTTGGCTTGGCTTGGCTTGGTTTGGCTTGGCTTGACTTGGCTTGGCTTGGCTTGGTTTGATTTGGTTTAGTTTGGCTTGGCTAGGCTTAGACTGACTTGGCTTGACTTGGTTAGCTTAACTTGGCTTGGATTGGTTTGGCTTGACCGCTCGATTTGGCGTGGCTCAGATAGACTTGATTTGCCTTGACTTGGCTTCGCTTGGCTTGGGTTAGCTTAGCTTTAGCTAAGACTAACAATAACAGTTTTGGCTATGTAGGCTACCTTTGGCTATATTCCAAGCTAAGCTAGAGCTAGAAAGTACTGTATGTCTATATCCTGGTAAAACTACAGTATGATTTTTAAGATTGGAGACAAGTCCCCTCAGCCAAAAACCCTGATCCAAGTCTTTCGAAGCGTTTGGGCCCTGGAGAAGTCAATGAGATTGGGCCGCGAGCACGAAGGCTTTGTCCTGGTACACGGTTGTAGTGGAGTACGACGGACTGGAACGTTTGTGGTCGCAGCCATGTTATGTCGCCAGATCAAAGAGACTAAACTCTTGGCTGTTCCAGCCATTGTGGCCAAGGTGCGACGAATGAGATACGGTATCATGAGGGACATTATCAACTACGAACTCGTGATCGAAACAGCACTGACATATGGATGTGAGCAGGGCTTGATAGACCGAAAGAACATCATGTATCTGCAGACTATTGACGTGAGTAGAAAGCGTTATACCTAGAGATGTTTTTTGAAGGCAGGGTAGTTTTTTGAGGGCAGGGTAGATTTTGAGAGTAGGGTAGTTTTTGAGGGCAGGGTAGATTTTGAGGGCAGGATAGATTTTGAGGGCAGGGTAGATTTTGAGGGCAGGGTAGATTTTGAGGGCAGGGTAGATTTGAGGGTAGGGTAGTTTTTGAAGGTAGGGGATTTTTTAAGGGTAGGGTAGTTTTTAAGGGCGGGGTACTTTTTAAGGGTAGGGTAGTTTTCGAGGGCGGGGTAGATTTTTAAGGCATTGTAGAATTTTGAGGGTAGGGTAGTTTTTGATGGTAGGGTGAATTTTTAAGTCAGGGTAGTTTTGGAAGGTAGGGGAGTTTTGAAGGGTACGGTAGTTTTTGAGAGTAGGGTAAGGCCTAACATCAGAAAAAAGTTAGGGTAGGGCAGAACAAGACAGAAATAAAAAAAGTAGTGAATACTGTAACATTTTCCGATTTTCAGAAGATCCGTGACTCTCTGAAGGAAAAGAAAACTAAAGAGAGAAACAGGGAGACTGAAGCTCAAGATAATGGAGGTGATACCGTAGCCAGCACAGCCACAAATGTCACAGCCGCAGGCGGAGAAGCGGCCGGTGGAGAATCACAAGTTGGCCAGTCCGCCGCCGGCCAAACCGCGACCGGAGGACAATCAGCCGCCGGTCCATCAGCCGCCACTGCTCCAGCTTAAACGTTCTTTGGTTACTGTAGTTTCTTGTGGTTATATAAATTTTTTAGAATTGGAAATCGGGTCTTGATTACTGTAGTTTTACTTACTACTCTACCCTACTCTACCCTACCCTACCCTACTCTATGCTACCCTACCCTACCGTACTCTAATATACCCACGCCTGTCATATCTTACCGTACCCTACGTTGCCTTACTCTACTACACACAACCCTACCCTATTCTACAGTGCTCTATCTTAGCTTACTGTACTTTTCCCCAACCCTACTTTACCTTATCCTACGCTACCGTATCTTTCCTTACCTCTTCGAATCCTACCCTACACCTCCCCTCTCCTGCTTTATACCGTCGTCCTATCATGTATGTCGAAACTAAAAGTATAGTCCAAGACCAGTACTGACCATACCAATACATATATAATCACCACACACAGATATAGATATTTATTACCAAAAGGTTAAAGCAATTCACAGGGTTTGGAGATATCACAATGACTCAAATTCTTAAAGCAAAATAACACCCGTCTACATTATTGTAAATACTAACAGAAGAATACTGTAATTTTGGTTTAGTAAGAAGAGATTTTAGCCGTTTTTAAATTTAAAAAATTTTTTTTTTCAAAAAACTATTTTTGTTACCTAAAATATTAAAGATAGCTATAAAAAGTAAGTCTCAGCCTTATAAATAACCAAAATGTAAAAATTGTTACCTAAAATACAAAAAAAAATGGTTAAAAAATGCAAAAATACTATTTTTGTTACCTAAAAATAAAAAAAAATAGCTAAAAAACAACAAAAATCTTTCAAAAATTACATTTTGATACCTAAATTACAAGTCTGTTACCTAAATTACAATTTTGTTACCTAAATCATCAAAAACTATCCCTAAAACTAAAAAACCTAAAAAAACGACCAAAATCTCAAAATCCACCCCCAAAATCAAATTCAAATGTAACGCCTCAGCTGTTGAGCGAATTCGTCCAAATTTTGTTGCAATTGACCGGTCGTTGGCCGCTCTAATGGTGCTTGATTCCAGCACGAATACATGATACTGTACATTTCGTCCGGACAGTTGTAGGGTTGTCCTAGCCGAGTACCAGTTTGTAAAATTGAAGGTATCTCCTCGGAGTTACAATCGACGAAGGGCTGTTGACCACAGGTGAAGAGTTCCCACATGAACACGCCGAAGGACCACTGAAATGAGGTTTTTTACTCTACCAACTTTAATCGGCCTTATCTTGGTCTATCATACCCTCTATCACAATATATTGTCCTACCATACCCTCTAGCTCAATATCTTTCCCTACCACTCCCTCTAACTCAATGCCTTTCCTTACCATACCCTCTAACCCAGTATTCCACTTACCACATCCGAAGCACTGTTATAAACATTGCTTCTGATCGTCTCCGGAGGCATCCATTTGACCGGTCGACTCTCCGTGTCATCCCCTTTCGGACTGTAATAATCATCCGGAAAGATGTCTCGACTCAACGATGAATCACACAACTGCACCATCAACCGGTCGTTAATTCCCAACGCCGGAATCTCAGCGATCAGACAGTTTCGTGTAGCTACATCCTTGTGAATCACCCCAAACCGATGCAAGTGTGTCACCGCCTTCAGAATTTGTTGTGACATGTTCACCAGGTCATGGGTACGTAAGGTCTGATTGGCTGCTCCACCAGTCGGCCGCTTCGATGAACTGGCACTGGCCTCAGAAGATTCGCGAAGCCCTTGAACTCCACGACAAGTCAAAAGGAATTTCTTTAGGAATCCAAAGCCTTGATGACGATAACAAATCAGTGGGAAGTCGGTTACTGAAGCTGGATTGTTGAAATGACCAAAAGTGGCAGCTCCTTGTACTTGAGCCAGATTTATGTGGGATGGGACCTGGAAAAGGTAAAAAAATTAGCTTTTTCTATAACATTTTTGTATATTTAGAACTTTTAAAATGTTCAAAAAATATAGACAATTCATAATATCAACAGTCAAAATCCAAAAATATATCAAAAATATTTTTAAAATAAAGAAAAAGAAAAAAAATTGATCAAAAATTTCAAAAAATTCCAAAAAACTCGCAAAAATAGTCAAAAAACATCAAAATAATAAGCAAAAATAACAAAAATAATGCCAATTCAAACACCAAAGGCTATTTTCACCTAAAAAACGTCATTTTCAATTCACATCGCTCAAAAAAACGTTTTGCACTAAGCCGGACTCGAACCCGCTAGCTTCCGCACGTACGTCCAGCGCACTGTCACTATACCAGAAAGACGCACATTTCTAAATATTGTAGTTTTGATGTTTTAGATGTTTTATGGTTAATATAGCCTTCAAAACATGGTTTAGGCTCTGAAAAAAGGTTCTTTATCGACTTCTTGAACTTTTACTTAGTATTTTTATTAAATTTGAGGCCAAAAACGAGCAAAATCAAGCGAATAAAGACTGGAAACCAAGAAATATAGCGGATTTTTGGCGTTTTTTGATGTTTTATACCTTTTTCTTATCGAAATACGGTCTGAAACTAAAGGAAAATATTCTAAAAGTATTGAAAAATCTTTTTCAAACTTTTTTCAATATAAATTTTAGTGATTTGATTTGTTTTTTAGGTAATAAACGTTGCAAAACAAGGTTAATCTTGCTAAAAAGCTTACCTTGTGGAAGACCAACGAATCCCTCATGAACTTCTCAAAATGCGACCGGTCGGTTGTGTTCTTCAAAGTTTTACATATCACAGCGACTTCCTCATTGACTCCATCTTCTTCATCGTCAATATCTCCACTCAATCCGACTGTCGTCTGTCTCCATATTGCCCATCGTATCTCGCCGAACTTGCCCTCCATTTCGATGAATGGCATAACTTGGAACAGATTTCGATCAGCATAGAGTTCTATTAGGGTTTTGTTCACATCTAGCGGTGTTTTCCGTTCGAATATTATTTTTGGTTCGGCTAATGTTGAGTTTGTTTCGAGTTTGGTCAGCTTGGCGGTGGAAATCTTGGTTAAGGGGGTGGATGTGCAAGGTTGGAGAAAGGGTTGGGAGGGGGAGTCGAAGGCACTTGATTCTTTGGTTCTGGAAAATTATTTTTATATTACTCAAAATCTTTAGGCTTAGGACAAGATTTTAGGCTTAAAAAATGAAAGTTAGGCTTAGCACATACGTTTAGGCTTAGTGCACAATTTTTAGGCTTACCACAAACTAATTAGGCTTAATAAGGTAGAGTAACTCTTAAAAACTTACGGAAAAGAGCTCGGAGTAGATCTACCATGCCTAGATTCATACAATCTCGACTGTTTACTCTTCGACCGAGTGTAAAAGCAAACAGCACTGATGATTAACAAGATTATGGTAATCAGTACGGCTACAGATACGTATAATAGTACTGGGGAGTTCATTGTACTCTCATTGTTCATCTGTAGGTGGTTGTAATCGTGGTCTGATCCTGAAATTTTAAAAATTTCAAAAAAATTTAAATTTCAAAATTATACTGTAACCCACTTGAAAAACCCCAAAAAGTAATAAAATTACCTCCAGTAGCCCGTCTTCCGTCCTTCAACGTACAAATCTTTTCCTGTTTCAGTGTAAAGGCCAAAGGCCCTTGACTGGTCGAAACATTGAAGAACAACGTGACCAGGAACTGCCCCGCCCGACTGCCAGCACAGCGATATTCCACGGAGAAGGCTGTAAATAATTCAGTAATGCTTTTATTTCACGGATATTAACGTATTTATGGATAAGAAAGTTTCATTTTTTGAAAATTTTTTGAGATTTTAGGCCGGTTTAGATGGGTAGGTGAATATAAAAGCTCATATCTTTCAAACTAATAGGGATATTATAAAACTTTTTTGTTATGACATGGCCTATACTATTTAGAATACTAATGTCATAATAAAATAGCCAAATAGTACTACTGTTATGATACAACATGTTTAGTTTCTATAAATTTTTTAAAATTTGATGGGTAGGTGAATATAAAATCTCATATCTTTCAAACTAATAAGGATATTATAAAACTTTTTTGTTATGACATAGTCAACACTATGTAAAGTAAGATTGTTATCCTATTCTAGTCAATTAGTACTACTGGTACACGTTATGATACAATATGTTCAGGCTCTATATATTTTTTGAAATTTGATGGGTAGATAAATATAAAAGCTCATACCTTATAAACAAATCGTAGTAAATACAGTATTACGTGTTTAAAATATAAGTAATACTATTCAAAATTGTCAGTAAAAGTCAGGTTTAGCATGTAGTACCGTTGGTACAAGTTATGGTGCAACTTTCCAGAACTATGTATATTCTTCAAGATATGATGGGTAGGTGAATAAAAAAGCTTATATCATGTGGCAAAATGGTAATAAATATAGTATGAACTGCTTAAAACACAGTGAAAACTATCAAAAACCCCCAGTAAAAGTTAAATGTCTCAAATAGTTTAATTGGTACAAGTTATGACATAAACTAGTACCCCAATCTCTTCTCCAAATTCTACCCGCCAAAACAAAATTTTAAAAACTTACTTTCCCGCGCTTTAGGCACTTTGCCATTGTTTGCCAGATTAATAATCGGCAGAACGTTGAAGTCATCCGCTTGTACTCGAACCGAATAATCAGCACGAGATGGTGAGAACCATGTGAAAACCAAATGACTAATATTGGCCGCGACACGGTAAGGGAACTTGGTCGCGTAGGCATTAACCACACCGTTCTCCACGTAATTCATCTCGGCTGAGACGCCTGAAAAGAACGTTTTAGTATGGGAACAAGGCAATAAGATATTAGGCTTACTTAGAAGGAAATTGTAGACTATTCTTAGGCTTAGCACATAATTTTTTGAGCTTAAAAAAGAAATTTAAGCTTAGAAATGAATTTTTAGGCTTATAAGAGAAAGTTATGCTTAGAAATGAATCTTTAGGCTTAGGGAAGAAATTAAGGCTTGGTACACAATCTAAGGCTTAGCACATAATTGTTAGGCTTAGAAAAGAACTTTTAGGCTTAGAGGATAAATTTGGGCTTAGAAAACAACTTTTAGGCTTAACAGACACTTTTTAGACATAAAAAAGAGGTTCAAACTTAGCTACTATATTTTTAGGCTTAGAGAAGAAGTTTAGGTTTAGAAAACGATTTTTACGTTTAGCAAAGTAGGGTAAGAGCTAGTAAACTTATCACAACCTACCTAATGTCCTGTTCATTTCCTCCTTGCTAATCAACAACGACACGTCGCCCATTACCGTATTCATTACCATTACGGTAGTGGCCGTAAGCCACACGAATATGCTCTGTTTCATGGCCACATTCAACTCTGAAAACAGTGCAAAAGGTCAAATGCCTTCGGGAATCTCATTATGACAAAACGTTCCGAGTACAACGTTGAAAACCGCGAATCCTCAATATCGACCCAAGGAAAGACAATCTTTTTGTTGGGTAAATAAAGTTATAGAGGGGGAGAAGGATTTGGGGAGTATTAACGGGAAAAATTGAGTACATTCAAAATTGAAATTCAAAAAATAATAAAATTTCACTTCAAAATGAAAAAACAAATATAAAAAATTTAAAAAACGCCTAAGGCTAGCCAACAGTAAAGCACAAGAAATCAAAAGTAAGCCTAGAACAAAATTACAAAAATTCACAAAATTAGGCTGGTCTAGAAGTTAGTAGATAGGGGCATGGGTAAATATGGGCAGAAGCAAGGATGAATGTAATGATAGAGATAAGGAGTAGAAAGATATGGTAAGGCAAGAGTAAAATATTTTTATTTTTTAGGGGTTATGGCTCTGGGCTAGGGCTCTGGGCTAGGGCTCTGGGCTAGGGCTCTGGGCTAGGGCTATGGGCTAGGGCTATGGGCTAGGGCTCTGGCTAGGGCTCTGGGCTAGGGCTCTGGGCTAGGGCTCTAGGCTAAAGCTATAGGCTATGGCTCGGGGTTAGAGCTTTAAAAATTTAATTTTTAGTTTTAGCTCACCTAAGTATAGCTCAACCCTTTTCTTTTGTTACATTACTATGCTTTGTTACATTGTTATTTTTACCTCCTACGCTGAGCGTGCTTACATCAAGTTTTCGGCCGTTCCTTTTTGTTCGGCCGTTCTAAAAAAATCAAATACCTTACCCTGCCCTACTCTACCCTGCCCTACCCTACCCTATCCTACCCTACCCTACCCTACCCTTCTACAGTACCACTCCAACCCACCCCCCCCCCTATAATATGACCAATATGATAAACCTTTCAAATATAACATACTCATGACGTGGTAATCAATCATAAACAGAGTCAAAACGTTCCGTTCCAAGACCCACATAATGGCCCAAAAGACTAACATTAGGGCTCTATTCAGAGGCGGTTAAGAATTGGATTTCACATCAGAGGATCGATTTCATTCATAAGGTGTGTGCAACTTAAAAACGTCTTAAAATTGCAAAAAAAGAGATAAAAAACTAAGCCTTAAGCCTTAAAATTTAAATTTAAAAAAATTAAAATAAAAAAAATTTTAAAAGAAATTAGTTTAAAAAAAGGCAATTTCAAGATTTAGGCTTAAAAAAAAAGAACATAAAAAAAAGCGGCTTATGAATAAAAATTTAGGCTTAAAAATGAAATTTTGGGCTTAAAACTAAAAAATTAAACTTAGAAATGAAGCTTTAAAAGTATAAATTAATCTAGGAGAACATAAATTTAGGTTTATAAATTGTAACTCCTAAATAAAATTAGGCTTGTAAACAAAAAGTTAGGCTTATAATAAATCTAAGCTAACCTTAAAATGAAAACATTAAGCCTAACCCTAAAATAAAAACCGTCAAGCCTAAAATTATAACACCATTTGTTAAGCCTAGCACCATAAAAAACGTTCAGCAAAACAAATTAACAAAACTCAAGACTCTTGGTCACTAACCTCAACTACTTAATAATATTTATTTTGCAAAACCCTCGAGTCTTTATAAACACGAGAATGTGATGATGGTATGTTTGCGGTGTATAATTTTGAGGGTAAATCTCCGATTTCACTTATGAACAGGTAAAACAATCTGCCGACCAGTCTGTCTGTCTTCCCCCCACTCTTTAAGAGTTTGTTGTGATTTCAAAGTTTTTTAAACTAATTTACAAAAAAATTAAAAATATGTAACAAGTAGGCTTAAAAACAGGGCGAAGCCCAATTTTTTAGCTTCTAGTGCCCGCTTTTGCCGGCCTAGTCCCTTTACAGATTTGACTGGATTCAGGAGACAGTTAAGGCTCAGTATAACAAAATCAAGGCTGAGATATAGCTCGACTAAGCTTCGACTCGAGCTAGAGCTAAGGCAAGAGCTAAGGTTATATAGACCTGGTCCTCGGACTTGCACTTCTTTCCTAATGCGCCTTCTTTTAAGCCTAGTAACAAGCAATAAATAAATTTGTGCCCTAAGGGTATATAAATTAAAGAGAATTTAAAAACGAAATATAATGACAGTTTTTGCAAAAAAAATGACAAGAACTTTCTTTACAATACGAAAAATGGCAAGAACTTTCTTTACAATACGAAAAATGGCAAGAACTTTCTTTACAAAACAAAAAATGGCAAGAACTTTCTTTACAAAACAAAAAATGGCAAGAACTTCCTTTACAAGACTAAATACTGCAAAAACATCTTTTACAAAACAAAACACGATGACGCATGGATTTTCATGTCTGTAAAATATTTTTTCCGGAACGTCTCAGTATGTAATGCAATATCATGATAAAGCAATTGTCTGTGTTACAGTGTTTTTTTTGTCTTTTAAAGAAAGTTCTTGCCATTTTTTGTTTTGTAAAGAAAGTTCTTGCCATTTTTTGATTTGTAAAGAAAGTTCTTGCCATTCGTTTAAAAATCAGAAGTTTTGCAGCCTGCGGGTGACAGGTATACGATGAAAAGCATTTTGTGTTTTGTAAAGAAAGTTTTTGCTATTTTAATTAAAAACACAAATTGTTACTTAAAAGCATCATAACTATTCCTAAAAACCTCCAAAATTAAAACAATTCCGTGAAAAAACCAAAAAAACTAAAAAAATCCGCCAAAAAGCGCTATTTGCTCTAATGTCATGATGTATATCACTCAAAAACTATCATTTATAGACAAAATGCCAAGCCCGTTATTCTTGGACAATGCCGGAAACTTTCTATAAAAGAAGTGTCACAAAGTTTTGCAACATAGCGAGGAGTTCCGTGTTCGAATTTGGCTCAATTACTGCACTTTTCATGTTTGCCGAAGCCTTTAATTGCGCCGCCTGATAGCTGCGAGCCATTTTTTAAAACAAACAATCAAATGCTCGTATTGTAGGTGGGTAAGCGCGTCGAATATTGAGGAAAAAGTTATAGATATTGTAGTAGGGTAGTGACAAAAATGTAAAAGAGCGACATAAAGAACCCGCCATTTTTTACAAGAAATTACAGGAAAAGTATGGCGGGTTCTTTATGTCGGCACCTAATATCTTAAGTAGGGCCGGGCAATAAGAAAAGAGGAGATACGACAAAAAGCTGACAAATACCAAAGCAAATACAAAAATTTAAAAAAAATAAATTTTATATGTCAATTTTAAAAATATATTATATCTTTCATTGTAAAATACGTCGATATTCTCACGTAAAGTTCAGTTTAACCTAACAATACAGTGACTTGTGTTTTGTTGGCTCAGAAACTAATATTGGGGCCGACATAAAGAACCCGCCATAATTTGCTTGTAATTCCTTGTAAAAAATGGCGAGTTCTTTATGTCGGCACCTAATTGTTTTGGATTGTGCGCGAAAGGTCGAAGGTTCGAAGCCGGTCAGAGAGAGAACTTATTTTTGGTCTTTTTATTGCTGAAAAACATAATTTTGAGGTTTGAAAAAGTTTTTTAAAATGTTTTTAAGATTTAAAAGTTATAAAAAATTTAATTTTTTTAATAAATTTAATTTAAAAAATTATTTTTTTAACAAAAAAGTGACATTTTAATCGAAAAAAGTAAAATTTAGGCTAAAAAATTTTATTTTTAAAAATATTTAAATTTAAAATTTATTTTTTTTACAAAGTTAATTTAAATTTTAATATCTTTTTTAATTAAAAAATGTTTTTTGACTTTTAAACTTTAACATTAAAACCCTTTAAATACTAAAACTTCATCTTTCACCCCCTAAAAACCTAAAATACTATACCACAAAGCACGATAACCCCATTCCCATGCCCTGAAACAATAAAACAATATAAAAACAATAAGCGTAAAACAACTAAATCGTAATTATGGCACTTAATTAGGACTCGTGTGAAACAAAAGTGGCCCGAACAATAAACGAAAAAACGAGGGGCCGAGAGATGCCCGAGGGCTTTTTTCGGCCCAATTGACGTTATTTTTGAGGAGGGGGGATGATCGAAATGTCTATGATTAATCTATTGCTTCCAGGTAAATGATGAGTAGGGGGGAGATTTAGTACAAGTGCTTGAGCATGATCACTCTGATCAAGAGTGATAGGTGAGAAGCGTGGAAAAGGAAGGGGGAAGGGGGGGGCAAGGCAGATAGAAAGTTGGGTAGGGTAAGGCAAGGGTAGGAAAAAGGTTAGGTAGGGTAAAGTAGGATAGAGTAGGCTAGGGTAGGGTAGGGTAAAGTAGGATATGGTCAGGGTAAAAGATGGAGTATGGTGAAAAGTAAGGTAAGGTGAAGGGAGGGGGGGGAGTAAGGTAGGGTACAATAGGGTATGGTAAGGTAAAATAGGGTAGGTTAAAGCAGAGTAAAGTAGGGTAGAGGTAATAAAATTACAGACAATGGGAAAAGTCTGATTTTGAAGTTTGATACCCCCCCCCCGCTAAAATAAATAAAAAAAATTTTACCCCGCCCACAATTTTTTTTAGAATTCATTGTCTTCAACCCTCTGTCTAAAAATTGTAAGCTTACATATGCTTCTCAACCTCCCCTTCACCCCCCCCCCACTTTACAAACCACCTCTCCTCAAAAACACCGCCCTCTCTTCAATAGCTCTCTCCCCCCCCCCTCTTCCTCCTTAAAAAGCTTATTACCCTAACACTAAAGTTTTGTGTCAAGTCTCACTATTTATTCATTTATTCCCCCCCCCCTTCTAACATTTCCATTTTTACCCCCATAAACACAAAATGTAAATACGTTTCAAAGTTTCAAATGTTTAAAGAGTTAAAGACAACCGAGTACTCTCTACCCTCTACTGCGCGGCATAGTGCTAATAAAAAGTGTCCAAAGTGAATATGCGTTCTTTATGTGTTTAAAGAAAGTTGTGCAAGTGACAGCACGACGAAGAGAAGACATAGAGCACGTTTCAAAGAGCATCCAATTCCCAGGTGCC